AGAAGAAAGCTGCTGGCAAAGGGGATGTCCCCCTAAGAGGCCACCTGTCTTTCAAGCTGGGGTTAACACTGTCACCACCTTGGTGGAAAACAAGAAGGCTCAGCTGGCAGTGATTGCACATGCTGTGGATCCCACTGAGCTGGTTGTCTTCCCGTCTGCCCTGTGTCATACATAAGATGGGGTTCCCTACTGCATTATCAAGGGGAAGGCCAGGCTGGGGCGTCTGGTCCACAGGAAGACCTGCACCACTGTCACCTTCACACAGGTGAACTCGGAAGACAAAGGAGCTCTGGCTAAGCTGGTGGAAGCCATCAGGACCATAATTACAATGTCAGATATGATGAGATCTGACGTCACTGGGGAAGCAATTGTCCTAGGTCTGAAGTTGGTGGCTTGCAACGCTAAGCTGGAAAAGGCAAAGGCTAAAGAACTGGCCACCCAACGGGGCTGAGTGGATACTGTTGAATTTTCTGTACATAAAAGTAATAAAAAGTTCTCTTTTAGCCAGTCCGGGGCGGGGGGTGGGGGGGGCGGTGGTCTCTTCTTTTTTTTCCATAGCCAAAGACACGATCAAGTTCTCCAGTTCCTGCCTGACTCCAATTCCTGATATCAGTCTACCACTCCTTTCTTAATCAATGAATCCACAAATGCTTACTGAGCATCTCCTATTTCCTCAGAATGAGGCTCTCTCTGGGCAGAGAAGGGAAGAGAAAAAAGTAAGAGCCCAGAGAACAAATAACAAACAAACAAAGCAACCCAATGGTGCACTCAACAAGTATTTATTTAACACATCACACCCAGCAATGCACTCAAGGGTGAGAGGAACACAGTGGTGAGGAAGCCAAGACCCTTGCTGTAAGGACGGATTGGTCTTGTAGGCAAGATTCTATTCAATTGAAGACACCCACATTTTTACATTTTATAATCTTTTATTTTTTAATATTTATTTATTTAAATAATCTCTATTCCCCAAGATCAAGAGTCACACGCTACTCTGACTGAGCCAGCCAGGCACCCCTACACTTTATAATCTTTCAAATTGCACTTCATCTTAAGCTGGTGATGCTTTCCCCTGGATGAAATGCAGTAACCATAGCACAGCGCAGCATCATATGCCCTGAGAGCTGTGTTAGAGCCTATGGTAATCAGAATAGGGACTCAAGTCAGGCTGCAACATTAGAATTGCCTGGGAAACTCTTAAAAAAAAAAAAAAAGCTATGCCTGGACTCCACCCCAGACCAACTAAATCAGTGTGGGGAGGGTGGGGCTGGGCATTGATAGTTTTTAAAGCTCCTCAGGTAGCAAGGGAAACAAAAGCAAAAATGAACTATTGGGACTTCATCAAGATAAAAAAACTTCTGCACAGCAAAGGAAAATCAACAAAACTAAAAGGCAGCCTACAGAATGGGAGAAGATATTTGCAAATGACATATCAGATAAAGGGCTAGTATCCAAAATCTATAAAGAGCTTATCAAATTCTACACCCAAAAAATTAAAACTCCAGTCAAGAAATGTGGAGAAGATATAAACAAGACATTTCTCCAAAGAAGACATACAAATGGCCAACAGACACATGAAAAAATGCTCTATATCACTCATCATCAGAGAAATCCAAATCAAAACCACAATGAGATACCACCTCACACCAGTCAGAATGGCTAAAATTAACAAGTCAGTCTGGCGGGGATGCAGAGAAAGGGGAACCCTCCTACACTGTTGCTGGGAATGCAAGCTGGTGCAGCCACTCTGGAAAACAGTGTGGAGGTTCCTCAAAGAGTTAAAAATAGGGGCGCTTGGGTGGCTTAGTCGTTAAGCGTCTGCCTTCAACTCAGAGCATGATCCCTGGGTCCTGGGATCGAGTCCCGCATCGGGCTCCCTGCTCTGCAGGAAGCCTGCTTCTCCCTCTGCCACTCCTCCCCCCACTCCCCCAGCCCCGCTTGTGTTCTCTCGCGCACGCTGTGTCTCTCTCTGTCAAATAAATAAATAAAATCTTAAAAAAAAAGAAAAAATAGGGAGCCAAATCATAAGAGACTCTTAATCATAGGAAACAAACTGAGGGTTGCTGGAGGGGAGGTGGGGGGGGATGGGGTCACTGGGTGACGGACCTTAAGGAGGGCACTTGATGTTGTATGCAACCGATGAATCACTAAATTCTACCCCTGAAATTAAAAATACACTCTATGTTACCTAACTTGAATTTAAATTTTTAAATAAATAAATAAAGCATTTCGTGTGATTCTCATATGTAGCCAGGGTTGAAAACCAGGATGGCAAAGTTCAAACTAGAATGTATACACATTCTCAAGGGGCATGCCTCCATGGATGCTTTGGGGCAAGAGTCAGCAAACTAGAGACTGCGGCCCAAATCTGGCCTGCTTTTTACCACCCCAGGAGCTGAGATGGATTTTACATTTTTAAATAATGGGGAGGAGGAATATCAAAAGAGGAATAATGTTTGGGGACATGTAAAAATTAGATGGAATTCAAATGTAAGTGTCCATAAATAAAGTTTTGCTGGAACATAGCCACACTCCTTAGTTCACATATTGTCTACAGCAGGTTTTGTGCTCCAAGAGCAGAGTGAAATAGCTGGGACAGAGGCCACGTGGCAAAGTCTAAAATACTCACTATCTGGTCCTTTACAGAAAAGGTTGACTGACCCTAGCTTGAAGGGGATGGATTTCTAGAACCTCAACACTCTGTGTCCTCTTCCAAGAACTCAGCTGCCTGGGAAGGTGCCAGCTTCAAGGGGTCAGGTATGGGTGGTATCTTCTCCTTTCTCAGCTCTTCTTCACACTTGCCCTTCTCCCACTTCCAAAAGAAAACCTCTCACCAGGCCTTTTTACACCAGGGGTGTAAAAACCTCTTAGGCACTAAACCAAAGAATCTCCCCCAAATACTTGTGTCTAATGGGATTCTAATGACATCTTGTTTTCAAGTCAGGAGGGTTCCAAATATTGCATTACCAAAACCAAAGGAGGACCCAGTCAAGTTGTCAGCTGCCAAACCATTGAAAATATTTGGTGGCAGATGGCTATGTGATGTTTGGCATGTAACTCAGAAGGGGTTCAAAGAATTGAGTAACATGGTTATGACAAAACTAGTATCATTATTTATGTAAACAAAGTTTTCAAGGCTTAACTGTAAAATATTTAAAATGCTGAATGCAGTCCCATTCTATGAATAAGCAGTGTCGGTCCACTGATACATGAGGAAAAAAACCTTTCCTTTCATAAGAAGTGAATTTCAAATAACAGTTTGTTACTATGTTTAATAGCTACTTATCAAAACTTGCATCATGTTTACATTATTTTGATCAATTATGTACTAATAATTATGAAATGAGGACCTCGATTTCTAACTGACTGTTGAGGACTTTCTCAATTCCTTGACTTTGGGCCTTTCGCACGGCAGCTCACTGCAACCCAGAAAGAGGCTGAACAACAGAAACCATGGTCTTTTTAGCTTAATCCTGTAAGTGACATCCTCTCACATCACGTTTGTCTTATTCTATTAGTATTCTATTGCTGGAATCAAGGCACGAGGCTCAGGCCACACTCAAGGGGAGGGAGATACAAAAGGATGTGACCACCAGGACGGGGGATCCCGGGAGCCATCTCAGATGCTGCCCACTACAAATGTCAAATTTTAAGAACATTTATATCCTCTACCTCTGTTTATGTACAGGACGAAAAGTTTTAGGTGTCATCTTAAAAATGGGTGAGAGGATGCAGAGTTTTCAAGACTTCTTTTAGAAATAAACAAGTAAAGATGTTCGGAGACCACGGAGCTTGAGGCCTAATCGAGCCGGGGCCTGTCAGGTGGCAGGGTCTAGCAGAGGGTCGCCAGCGGGCCTTGGGCAGCGGGAAGGGGCGGTGGCTGCTTGGGACAGTGAGAAAAGCCACCGCCCCAGACCTGGCAGCTCCATTCAGTCCGGGTGAGTGCGAAACGCAGGGAAAAGCCAAGCACGTCTAGATTCCGTGGGTGTCAAAGGTCAGGCGAGGCGATTAGACCCGACTGGGAAGAAAATGCGGGCGACGGCGGGTGTAGGGAAACGGAGCAAGGGGATACGAAGCAGTTTGCGAAAGGCAGATGTGCTACGAGCGGGCAGGGTGAAACGCGGAAGGCCGAGGCTCGAAGCCTCAAGCCGGGGCTGGGGCCTGGAGGGAGCCAGGAGAGGGGAGACCTGCGCCCGACTTGGGATGGAGGGTGGATGGTCTGGGGGTCCGGACGCGAGAGCATGCAGTCAGCTCTCGTTCCAGAGGATCATCGGTCGTCAGGACGGGAGACTAGGAGCTGGGATCACGGGCGCCGTCCGCCAGCGGACGTGGAGTAAGTCTCGGGATGTGCGGCGGTCTGGGGCGCTGTGGGCACGCAGAATGGTCCCAAACCGGGGGCCTGCCCCCCGCCCCGGCAATCCAGTCTCGCAAAGTGGGCGCCAACTGTGTGGGGAATGACTGCTCCCATTTCCTTCCCCGGGACCCAACCGAGAAATGCGTCGGAGCCGGCAGCCGCCGGTGCTTGAGAAACGAAAGGAAAGCCAGGGAAGGCAGAGCCAGACCCCGGAGTGTCCAGGGCGTGGGAATAGAGGGACAGAGACTACGAAAACGGACTTCCTTGCAGCCTCGAGCTGGGGCCTGACGTCCAGGGACCGAAAAGAAAGCCCAGAGAAGGCTGATCCGGGACGAGCGCAAAGGGAGAAGGGACTGAAGTCGGGCGCTGAGGCTCGCGGGTAAGAGCCGGGATGAAATTTGAGAACGGGAGGGGGCCCGAGAGCCAGGCGACCGCAGCGGCCGGGGCGGCGGGAAACGTGCGCGCGGGTGCGGGTGCCCGGCCGCGGGCGCCGGGCCGAGGAGCGCGGGGAGGAGCGCGCACCTGGACGCACCGCCGAAGGAGGGCCCAGCGCGGCGCCGGGTCCCGGGCCCAAGCCCTGCCCCTTGGCGGCCCGCCCCCTGGGCGGCTGGAAGCCGGAAGCCGGCGAAGAAGAGCCAACTCCGAGCTTCTCGGCGGAAGGGGAAGCCCAGGGCCGGTCCCCTGCAGTGCCCCAGCCGCGGGCTGCGAGCGCTCCGCGACAGTGCGGGGCCATGGGGACTCCGCGCCGCGGCCCACCCGTCCTCCCGGGGCTCCCGCTGGGGCGGCTGCTGCTGCTCCTGCTCCTGAGCGGGCTGGCCCCGGCTCGCGCCTCCCCGCGGCTCCTGGACCACCCGACGCCAGTCTGCTCCCAGGAGGTAAGAGAGACCCCGACGCGCCCCGAGGATGCTGCGGGGGCGGCCGAGGTGCCCTGGGCCGGGAAGTCTGCGCTGGGGGGTCTCAGTGGGTACGAGGCTCGGCCAGAAAGAGCGGGCACGCTCGGGAGGACCCTCGGAGCGGTGGGAGTTGCGGGGTGGACCAGAGAACAGAGCGAGTTTTCAGGGGAAACGACCCGACCCGGCGTCCTGGGCAGGAGGCGGGAGCGCCGCCGCGAGGGCCCTGCGGTTCGAGGAAGGAGAGGGAGCCGCGGGGTCGGCCAGAGAGGCGGGGCAGGGTCAGTTAGAAAGGGAGGTGGGGAGGGCCCTTCGGAGGAGCCAGGACTGGCCCGGAGCGGCCTCCACGCCGTGCGCCCGGCAAATCCCCGTGGTGTCGGGGCGGGCCCGGGAGACCCATCCGGACCTCGAGAGCTTCCCCTCAAAGGAGTCCCGCCAGCCCCCGGCATTCGGATCGCGGGCGACTGTGCGGAAGTCTGGGGCCCGGTCGGATCTCGGCCCCACTCCCCGGGAGGGACCCCGCGGTCCTAGAGCCTTGCGCGCGAGCCCGGACGGCCTTTGGGGGCTAAGGGCTCGGAGCGGTGAGACGGGGACAGTTGTGCCGAGGGCAGCCGGCCGACCCCGGGCGACACCTCTCCAGAGGGACGAAGCCCTGAGGATGGGGCAGAGGATTAAGACACCGCCTTTCCAGCTCCCACCATCACCACCCCTAGGGTCCAGTTTGTACCTGTCAAGTAGTACCCTCGCTGTGCTCACAGGAAGTGACACACCCACCCCTTGGGTAGTGCCCTTTTGTGGAGGACCATCTTAAGGGGAAAAAAACAAACAGCAAAACACCGTGCCCACCTCCACAACTTCTTCCCTCAAAGCTGCCCTCTCTCTTCCACTTTCTCTCTGGTTTCCTCAGCCCCCTCCCCTCCATCACTTCTGACCCAGTAACTGAGTCAGAGGATGTGAAACAACCAAGGAGATATTTCTCCTTATCTAATTTTGTGGAGGTTTTGCCAAAAGAGGGCGGAGGATGAGTGACTATTTAGCAGGATTTTTTTTTTTTTAATGTGAAAGATGTTGGGAAATGGTCTTGTAACTCCCACTTTTAGGCAAAGCAGGGGATATATGCTTAGCAGATCCCACAACTCAGTATAGAACTATCCTACCTAGACAATTCGGTGTTCATTTTTTGGTGGCCATTTGCCAAGTGCCTGCAAAATACAAGGTACTACTGTTGCTCTGAACTGAAACTATCAGGAAACACCCCTGGGACCCTAATGTCCAGCAACTTAAATCATCTAGGAGGGGAAAAGGCTTGACGGTGCTAACTGTGGTGCAAGACAGCCTGTAGCAAGTGCTCTTTGTGCAACCAGAGAGTGTACAGAATTCCAAGGAAAAGAAAAATTATTTCCAGCTGGGATGTTCTTCATGGCCGATAAGCCATTTGGGCAACGCTGAGGGATGGTGGGGCCTCCAAAACACCAGTGGTGGAGCAGTCCAGGTGGCGGAAAGGGGCTGAGCCAAGGCCCTTGGGTGGGCAGGAAAAGGTGTGTGGCTGCAGTGGAGGGTGTGTGTGGCAGGAAGTGAGAGAAGAAGCTAGAAAGGGAGGTAGGGACTCCATGGCCCCATGGCAGCCTGGTGTGAGAGCTAGGCTGTGTTTGACTTTAATTGCTCAGTGGGAAGCACTCCTGAAAGTCAGGAGCAGGGGCAGGGCTGGAAAGGGATACTTACTGGCCAGAGTTTTCTGTGATCTCCCACGTTCTTCCCCAACCCTGCCTCTACCTACACACCTGGCTCACAACCGGCTCATCTCCATGGACAGGCAGCTTCCCTGCTTCATGGACTAGTCCCTTTAAAAAGAAAGCAACAAACCCCTCAGATTTCTCTGCCTCCATTGGTGTTTCAGTGGATGCAGCATAATATAATGAGGGGAGGGAAGGCCACAAACTTGGCCTCAGAGCACCTGCATTTGCATCCTGACTTCACCACCTAGAATCTCTGCAAGCTTGAGCAGCTTAGGCTGCCTGCTCCTTCGCCTGGGTTTCCTACTTCCACAAGCAAGAGCTGGATGAGTCATTGCAAAGTGTGTCCGAACCACTTTCCAGAATATATAAATGCCTATCCAAAGCCTGGTTGGATTGAGCACTCAGTGACTGTCTCCCAAGACAGACAGGAGCCTTCTGCAGACCTGTTCTGTTCTGCTACTAGCCCCAGTGCTGCAAGCACAGGATGTGGGAGCTTGATAAGTATTTGTGGAATGAAAGTCAAAGGAATGAGTGAGTGAATGAACGAATGAGTGATCGGCTCTGCTTGAAGTGCAGTGATTACCTGAGACCAGGCATAGCACTGTTTCTGGCTTCCTGAGTTTAACACCTCAAAACCCAGATTACTCTTGAGTTCCCCACAGAAATCAATATTGAAGAAATCATAAGTAATTGCATTTCCCTGTCCTGAGCATTCTCCACCACCGCCCCCCCCCCCCCCCCCCCCCCCGTTGGCCCTTCCCCCGGCCCGGGCTTTCTCACACGTCACCCTTGACTGCTAGCCCAGAGGAGAGCCCTCAAGGGAAGACAATGACTTGGATTTGGTCAGTTTGAGTGTTAACACACCGTTTTATGGACAGGATGAATGTTGTCTTAAAAATTCTTTTTTTCTTTCCTGAGCACTTTGTGGTTTAGACTTGGGGCAGAACAAGGGTTAGATTTAACCGTTACCTTCCGGTTACCATTCCACTCTCCTGGTGTAAAAGGTGTTCTGGGGACGCTTCTACGTGGTAGAGGCATTCTGGCAGTCAGGGCTGGGCTTGCTGCAGTTAACACGTCCCTTGGCCAACATACCTCGCACCCTGCCCGCTCCCAACAGGCCTTCCATCTAGAGACTGTGATATCAGCTGCCAGCAGCACCCAGCAGGGCCGTGTAGGCGAGAGGCCATGCCAGTCAGAAGGCCTGGGCTCTGCGCTGGGCTTCCCCGCTCACCCACTGTGCAGCCCAGGGTCAGTCATTCCACTGTGGGGAGCCAGTGTTCCCCCGTACAAAAGATCCTCGCCTCACAGGGTTACGGGGAGAGCAGATTCCATGGAGGTAAAGCACCAGACTACGTGTGTTGTAGCTTCGGAAGGTGCCAGGGCATAACATTCACCTGTAGCTCTGTGCCAGGCACTGTACGGGGGGTTCACCTGCACAGCTTCCCTCCACACTCACAACAACCTTCCACGCCACACCACTGACCCCTTCTAGAGAGGCTGGGTAACTGGCCGAAGGTCACCCCGCTACCCAGTGCTGGGCTGAGAACCCACGTGGTACGTGACTTCAGAGCCCACCTTTCCTTACCAGGCACTTGGTCTTGACCGTTGAATGCACAGACTTAGACACAGTGAAATAAATTTCTTCCTTTTAATCTTCACCACTATAGACAGAGAATATTGGCTTACCTGCTGCAGGTGTCCTTTTTTTTTTTTTTTTCCCCATTTAGACGGTACAGCAGTGATTCAGAGCATGAATTCTGGAGCAGAACTGCATGGGTTTGAGTGTCAGCTCTGTGGGACCTTGGGCCACTTAACTGACCTCTCTGTGTCTCAGTTTTTTCATCAGTAAAAATGGGATAATGCAGGGGAGGTGCCTGGGTGGCTCAGTCGGTTAAGCCTCGGACTCTTGATTTCAGCTCAGATCATGATCTCAGGGTCTGAGATCGAGCCTCGCTTCGGGTTCTGCATTTAGCATGGAGTCTGCTTGTCCCTCTTCCTCTGCCCCACCCCCTGTGTGCACCTGCATGCGCCCTCTCAAGTAAATAAATAAGATCTTTAAAAAAAAAAGAAAAAGAGAACCCAAACCGACAGATCTCTGTCCCAGCCCTCGCCACTCCCTAAAACTGTTTCCCAAAGATGATCACTTACATTTATTTTAGGTTTTTTTCCCCCTGGCATTTGCCTCCACATTTCTAAATGTACTTATATTGTTATTCTTGACTTGTCAATGTTCGATATTGCCTATTGACTCATAATAGATAAAAATTTAAATTTTTTACATTTCTCCCACATCACAATTTTAGTGAAATCCATCGTTCGTGTTTGTAACAAGTAAGTAATCTTCACTGCTGAGGCCAGTAGGTGTACTTTGATTATATTCCTTTTCTGGTGTAATTCCTTTTCCCCTTCTGAGATGATAACTGCTTTAATTCTTCCATAATTTTCCATGTAGTCAGTCAGTTTTTTCTGTCAGATTTGCCAGATGTTGTTTTCCCCAAACATCAGCTATTCCATTGATTCCATTCCCTCTCCCCCCAGAGAACTCCCTCCTGGAACCCCGCCTCCTCCAGCTCCAGCCTGGACGGATCCCTGTCTAGGCTGTGGCACAACTCTTGTACTCAGTATCCTGTTCTGGACCCTCTGTCTGTCTTCCCAGAGCCTGCCTCCCTCATTCTGCTGGAACATATCCTTCTGCAGTTTCCTAAGAAAATGGATAAGGATGTGAGGGAAATATATACACATATATACCCTCACACCGTTTATTAATTTGGCTGGGCATAAAAATCACAGGTTAAAGATAATGTCCCCTCAGAGTTACGGAGGCATTGTTCTGTTGCCTTCTAGCAAACAGTACAGATGCTGAGGAGGCCAATGTGGCCTGTGTGTGGCACCCTACTTTTCCCCGCTCTGGAAATATTTAGATCTTCTTCTTCCTGCTATTCCAGAAGTTTCATGATGTTGGACCTTGTTCTGGGCCTTTTTTCCAGGCCATTCAGGGAAACTTTTTTAATTTGGAAATATGTATCCTTTAGTTCTGGAGTGTTTTTCTTTGCTTTTTAATTTCTTCCCCTCTATTTTCTATATAATCTTCTTCTGGAAATCCAGTTAATCATACCTTGATTTCCTGACTAATTCAATAAATAGTCATATATTTTCTTTCCTATTTCTGTTTCTGTTCATTCTACTTTCAGAGAAGTTTTCTGAATTACAGCACAACCCTTCTATGGGGTATTTTATCTCCAAGGTTCATTTTTATTCTCTGCTTGCTCATTTTACCAAGATTTTATTGATCTATTTGAGAGAGAGAGAGACAGCATAAGCAGGGGCACCGCAGGCAGAGGGAGAAGCAGGCTCCCTGCTGAGCAAGGAGCTCGATCGTGAGCTAAGCCGAAGGCGGACGCTTAACCAACTGAACCACCCAGGCGCCCCTGTCTGAGAATATTTTAAGAATGAGGTCCTGGGGCACCTGGGTGGCTCAGTCGTTAAGCGTCCACCTTCGGCTCAGGTCATGATCCCAGGGTCCTGGGATCGAACCCCATGTCGGGCTCCCTGCTCCGCGGGAAGCCTGCTTCTCCCTCTCCCACTCCCCCTGCTTGTGTTCCCTCTCTCGCTGTGTCTCTCTCTGTCAAATAAATAAATAAAATCTTTAAAAAAAAAAAAAAAGGAAAGAAAGAATGAGGTCCTAATCATGATGAGCACTGAGTAATGTATGGCAGTGTTGAATCACGATAGTGTACATCTAAAACTAATATAACACTGTATGTTAACTATACTGAAATTAAAATGAAAAACTTAATAAAAATTGTTTTAAAAGAATAAGGTCCTAAAAAGCTGATTAAATACTCTGTGTAGGTAGGGCTTATTGACTTTACTATAGGGGGTCAAGCTAATGGTGAACATGCCCTATCAGTGGACTCTCAAATGTCGGAATCAGGAGGTCTTTTCCAGGGCTTGACTGCCAGCATTCTATGATCAGAGCAGGGAAAGAGGCGAAGGTTCCAACATTCCCTATGTAGACCTTCACTGAACCGCACCCGCTTCAGCTCCTTTGTTTATACTACCTCCCCAGACATGTGATACCCTTAAGACCTGATGCCTTCTTTTTTTTTTTTATGTTCAGTTAGCCACTGTATAGTACATAATTAGTCCTTGATGCAGTGTTCAATGATTCATTAGTTAAGTATAAGACCTGTTGCTTTAAAAGGTTCTGTTGGCTTCTTTCTTGTTCTTTTCCCGCTTGACCTGAGCCATTTGCCTACTCCTCCTTCCACTTTGGCTTTTAAAATAATTTGTTCTCTGGGCACCTGGATGGTTCAGCAGTTGGGCGTCTGCCTTCGGCTCAGGTCATGATCCCAGGGTCCTGGTATCGAGTCCCGCATCGGGCTCCCTGCTCAGAGGGGAGTCTCCTTCTCCCTCTGCCTGCAGCTCCCCCTGCTTGTGCTCTCTCTCTCTCTCAAATAAATAAATAAAATATTTTTAAAAAATAAAATAAAAATAAAAATTTGTTGGGGCGCCTGGGTGGCTCAGTTGGTTGAGCGTCTGCCTTCGGCTCAGGTCATGATCCTGGAGTCCCGGGATCGAGTCCCACATCGGGCTCCCTGCTCAGCGGGGAGTCTGCTTCTCCCTCTGACCCTCCCCCCTCTCATGTGCTCTCTCTCTCTCATTCTCGCTCTCTCAGATAAATAAATCTTTAAAATAAAATAAAATAAATAAAATAAAAATTTGTTCTCGGGACGCCTGGGTGGCTCAGTTGGTTAAGCGTCCGCCTTCAGCTCAGCTCACGATCGAGCTCCTTGCTCAGCAGGGAGCCTGCTTCTCCCTCTGCCTGCGGTGCCCCCTGCTTATGCTGTCTCTCTCTCTCTCTCAAATAGATAAATAAAATCTAAAAAAAAATGTTTTTTTAATTTGTTCACATCTTTTGTCCACTGATGTTTCTTCTTTGTCCATGAAAATTTCTTAAAAATGTTCTCATTCCTAGAACTTTCCTATGGTTTGGGGAGGGGGAGAGGATAATGTATGTATATGATCAACATGCTGTGACCTCTAATGGAATGTGTTACTCGATATTTCACTGATATGCATATTTTTCTCTTCCATTTAAATCTTTTTCCCCTCATTTTCCCTCTCCATCTCTTCTGCTTCCATCCCTTTACCCCCAGTAACCCGTGTGTTAACAACCTGCTATATAACTGTCCAAATATTTTTATATGTTCATACAATTATATTCATCATATGTAAATATATGGGAAGGGTTTTTTCATCACTTATTTCCATAGAAAATTGGATCATATGATAAGAAGTTCTTTGCTTATGTTTCTCACTCATCAACACATCTTAAGCATCACTCCAGGTCAGTAGATATCTACGTAACTAATTCTCTTTAATCTTTACATAATATTCCATAGTAGATAGCAGTTTCTTGTCCTCTGTGCCCCAGTCCTAGGAGTTGCTGGTGGGAGGAGAAATGAGCATGTGCATGGAAGTTAATCTCCTCACCGGCCAGGAAACAGAGTGACGCTAGAGTGAGCAGAGGCAGCTAGTGGATCCTGTTGAACGCGTGAGGAGCGCCTCACAGGGTTTCAATGGCCCTGGGTGAGTGAGAATTCAGCACCAGGAGCTGGACAGGACCCCAAGGGCTCATGAACTAGCATCCCAGAAGGTAGGGTATGGATGAAATGGCATGCTTCGAATCAGTCCTGGAGCCTGCTCAAGGATATTATTCCTGTATCCGCTTTGTGAATGAACCCTGGTGGCCGAGCATCTTCTCCCATCTTTAACCCTGTCTCTCTGCTCCCTCTTGAGAGAAAGGCAGGTGCTGACCCCAACACCAGATTTACACGCATTTACCAAATCCCTCTGTTGTCCTCAAAATTGTATTCCTGATCTGCTTCAACATCTGACTTTTTACTCCACATGATCGGTCCATTTTGCCAGACTGGATAACTAGAAATACCTGAGCCTGAGTTCTTCCTGGCTCCAGAATCAAAGCCAAATCTGAATATGTGGAGGTCACCCCTTTTAATAAGAGCTTCCATTTATTGAACGCTTACTAAATGCCAAGCTCTAAGGAAGGGCAGCCAATAATTAAAGAGCGGCCATTATGTCCCAGACACTGGACAAATATTGTGTCATTGAGCAGGCAATGACAGTTCCCCAGGCACTGCGGCCAACAAAATTCCTCATCATGATTTTCTTAGGGTTGTTTAAAGGCTGCCTATTTAACAGTCCGGGGGCACTGTATTATTTTATTTAATTGTATAATTAATACACAAATACATTTCTGCTGTTTGAAACTTCTTGTAATACAGATATATTAGAAGTGGAAAGTGAAGGGCTCCCTTCCACACCGCCATCACTACCAGCCCACTCCCTGCCCCAGGGTCTTTATATGTGTATCATTTAATTCCCACCAATGCTATGAAGGTAGTATTATGGTAATTCTGATTTTACAGTTGAAGAAATCAAGGCCTCGCAATGTTTGGTATCTGGCCTAAAGTCACTTAGCTGGTAAGTGGTGGTAAGGTGACTCAGCTCCAAGGATGTGTGTGCGTGTCTTCCCAAGAAGAGTCAGCTGGCCAAACTGAAACCAGTGATTGCATTTCCTACTGTTTGTAATTAGGCTTCGAAATCTGGCTCTCCAGAGCTCTTCTGGGTTAGAGAGTTCACACATATTGCCAAAGTAGGAAGCAGCATAAGGTGACATTTGTGCTTCAGTTTTCTGATCTATAAAATGGGGCTGAGGGTAACAGTCCTAAGTGTGTGTGAGGATTAGTGAAATATGTCTGGTCACCCAGATAGGGGCTGGCACCTATGGGAGCTTGTAGGGAGTTGGTGAATTTTCCATAGCTCCCTGTCGCAGGAGCTGTGGTTCTGCCCACGCTGTTGTCCAGACGGGAGGTGGGAAGCCCCAGGGTATTTAGAGGGCTTTTCAGCGGGGTGCCCCCAAAAGAGAACCCTCTCAGTGTGTTTAAAAGGGGGAAGTTCCCAGCTGTTGACAGTTACTCAGAAAATGCCCCTTCCATTTTGTCATCCACTGGACCCACTTGCCATCCTGTTTCTCCTTGGATGGGCAGGGTGGGAGAAGTGGGAGGAGACTATGATTTCCTGCCCCACGAGCGGCCCCCAAAAGTGAGGGTGGTGCTGTGTACATTTTATTCTTGAGAATGAGCCAAGGGGAGCATGGGAAGCCTGGCTTGTGAATTACCATTCCTTCACAGCTGTAATTACCTCCTTCCTTTCTTCCGCAGGGGCTAAACTGTGCAGTGAAGAATAGTAAGTCGTCTGTTTTTGTTCATCCTGTTGTTGCCTTGTTAATAAAGTGCTAACCTCATGCCGCTGTCTGACAGGAGCACTGCCCCTCCACCTAGGCTCCAGATGGGTGTGACAGCCTTCAGCAGGAGGGATCCTTGAGAGTCCAGGCTCTGTACACCTGCGTTTCCTATCAAGAATATCCATTATGCAAAAGTCAGGAAGTGAGACACAGAATTGTCATTTAGGTTTTGAAAACATTGTCTGGGGTGCTGCCCTGGTGTGTCTACAATACAATTTGATTTGCCAGAGCTTGTCACTGGAAAGTGAGAGACATCTGTGATGTTGATCCTGTTTTGTGTTTTAATTCAAGAAGGAGGCACACACTTCAAGTGTCTGTGCTAATTAGGGACGAACCCAGGCATATAATATAAATCAACTTCTATCACTACCCCATCCTTCCTGTGCCCCGTTTCACTGCTTTATCGCAAAACCAAGTTTCATGCTTTGTCTCCTGTCCTAAAATGCCCTTTAGACTTAAGAGATTTGCAGAGACTCAGCCAGCCGAGGGTCACAGGCCCCTGCGTGTGTACGATCGAGCTCTCTGGAGCCACCGCTGGGGCATCTTGCTTGCACGCCTCGTTCTCCTGCAGCTTCAGGCTCTTGCAGAGCGTGGGGATCTCTGATTCCTGCATTTTCTGGCTCCAGGTACCTGCCTGGATGACAGCTGGATCCACCCTCGAAATCTGACCCCTTCATCCCCCAAAGATGTCCAGGTCCACCTGGACTTTGCCCAGACCCAGCATGGAGACCTACTGCCTGTAGCCCGCATCAGGTGGACCCTGCAGACAGATGGTGAGTGGGCGTGTCGGGAGGGTGGGGGCCCTGGGAGGTTCAACCCTCTTCCAGGTGAGTCCACACACCAAACCACCGGCTCTCTCACCAGACTCAGAATGGGGCTCCCCGTCCCGTCCTCAGACACGAGGGCCCAGATTTCATGCTGAAAGCCTCCATCATTTCATGCAGTAAATGAATACTTTTTTAGTGTTTTAGATATTAACCCATGATGGTGTCTTCTCAACCCACCATCCCTCCTTCAGCCTAAAATCCTTATCACCCCAGAAAGAAAGTCAAGTGGTTCATTCTCTGACTGTGGTACCAAATATTTATTGGAAAATGGTAACACATTGGCCAGTGTGCTTTTTCCCTTAATTTAGGGGCAGACGTTTTTTTTTAAGTAATCTCCACACCTAACGTGGGGCTCAGACTCATGACCCCAAGATCGAGAGTCACATGCTCCACCTACTGAGCCAGCCAAGTGCCCCTAGGGGCTAGCATTTTCTAAGACAACACTCCCCCCGCCAAAACCTCTTTAGGGATAGAGAGTCGTATGACAGAATCGGGCAGATTGGGGTTAACAAGAGCCAGCCCCACATTTGTGACCAGGGCCTGGGGGAGGTCATCCTCCTTAAAAGTCTCCAGCCCCTGGTGCCTACCTGAGCCTCTCCAAGGATGGGGACAGCCAGGTTTGACACCCAGGCCATGTCGTCAACATCCTGGCCACAAATCTGCAAAGCCTTTGCCTCTGGCCCAGTGCAAAGTTTCACTTGTCCTTGCCCAGCTGGGAAGTAACCTCTGCAAGGCCGTGGGCTCCACCAAGCCCAAGAGTGAGCTGGAGGGAGCAGGAAGTGGAGGGTTAGGTACAGTGAACAGATTTTCTTTCAAGAGTGAGTAAGCATAACAGGGAAGTTCCACGCCCAGTGGTTTGTCTTTGTTGACCTGCCTCTGTTCGTCTCTTCTCCCTCCGACCTGCAGCCAGCATCCTCTTCCTGGAGGGTGCAGAGTTATCTGTCCTGCAGCTGAACACCAATGAACGCTTGTGCGTCAAGTTTGAGTTTCTGTCCAAACTGCAGCATCATCGCAAGCGGGTAAGCAGCCGGCTCCAGAGCGCATTGTGTTCCTCTACTGATAGCGAGGAGCGAAAGTGTTTTTGAAGACTTCCCAGACATGCCCACCCCTGCTTTTGCTCCCAACTTTCCCTAGTTGTTCAGCGTAAAGGAAGTTGAGTCGAAGGCCTTGCACAGCCCCACTCCTGTTCTCTTCCTGTGTGACTGAGGCTAATGTGGGGCCTGCCTCCAGGAAGGAGCAGCTTTGCCCAGACCTGGGAACTGCAGTGGCTGTGGGCACAAGCGGGGGAGTTCTGCAGCAGTTTCTATTTATTTTGCTGCTCACTGCCCGATGGTAAAAGGTTGATTCTCATCTAGTGTGTTTAAAGCATCGGTTCACAAGAGTGTGGTCCCAGGGCTGGCAGCATGGGCATGCCCTGCAAACCAGTTAGAAATGCAGAAGCTAGGGCCCCACCCCCGACTTCCAGAATCAGAAATGCTGAGGCTGGGGCCCAGCAGTCGGTGTTGAACCAGCCTACCAAGTGATTCTGGGGCAAGCTCCAGTCTGAAAACTTGCCAGTTAAAATCTGCAAAAGTGTCTGTTTGCAGATCTCCCACAAACGCAAGCAGCCAAGACAGTTCCCTTCCCCTGTATTTAATGAGGACCCCCAAACTTGACTGCTGGCTGGATGGTGAGGCCCAGGTGCCTAGAACGACTTAGAAGCAAAGGACCGCACACCCCCATCCACTCCCACACTAATGAGGATGGAAGTTGGAATCAATATGTGTCATCTGCACCATCCAGAAAATATCCTCATACCTTCTGTAATCTCCAGCAGAGGTGATTGCAGGCGCACGCTGAGTGGGGATCTGTAGCCCTCCCTCTGCACTTTTGTGCTCCAGAACATTCTCAAGAGGTCCCGACTTTCCCATTTAAGGAGGAAGAGTCACTTAACAAACGGTTTTTAGCTGCCTCTTGTGTGCTAGCTCTCCCACTAGCCCGGAGTCCTCTGGCCAGTTCCCTCACCCCATCGTTCTGGAGTCTGAGAGGGCTGACCAGGGAGGAGGGCTGTTTCGGCTTTCCCCAGATTCTCTGGCATATGACACTGCTGTCTACTGCTGACGCCAGATCTAGGTTTTTTAGGTAGGCATCAAAGACCAGAGGAAACCAAGAGCAGAGACGCACCTCCCTCTGATTTTGGATCTTGCTGTGGTGGTTTTCTTCCCCTGTTTCTCGGACCTTTCAGGGGGCGGGCAGGGGTGGAGTTCTCTGGGCACACACCGCTGGGTGAGAGGTGTGTGTGTGACCTGTCCAACCTCCCCTTCCTCCCTCTCTTCAGTGGCATTTTACCTTCAGCCACTTTGTGGTAGAACCTGGCCAGGACTATGAGGTGACCGTTCACCACCTGCCCAAACCCATCCCTGACGGGGACCCAAATCACCAGTCCAAGAACTTCCCCGTGCCCGGTAAGAGCGCCCTCCCAAGCCATTCCTTTCACCACTCGGCTCTTCCTGTTCGAGAGAAACCAGTAGGTGGCTCAGACATCAGCCTCCCGCTCAGCTGGGCCATCCATGGCTGCCATTGTCAGCACGTGGTACCTACAGAATGAACAGACGCCACGGCTGGGGACCTCCTGCCCAGGAAACGTCGGGAAGACCAGCCGCTCTGAGGAGAGTTTAACCCCCGCTTCAAGCCTCGTCCCTCATCACCTCGCTCTGCACGTTTGTCTTGTTTCATTCCCCACCCGCCCTGCCTGGTTCTTCACTTTTTACCCCATATCCTACCTGCATTTATCTGCCACCATCCCCTCTTCCCCTCAGGTCCGTCCTGCCCAGGAAAGACCACGGGGCTGATCTTCTAAAGTGTCGTCTGATGTCTGTGCCCCTTCTAGTTCTCTGTCCTCCCAGCATCTCAGCCACAACCTACATTTCCCATTGTTCACAGCTGACTCCGTCTGGAGCCCCAGCCCCCTTGAGGACAGGGTCTGGGGCTCACACCCATCCACGCAAGCTCCCGAGCCTCCCATTGCCTTGCCTGTAGTAGGCAGTTCAGAAACATGCTTGTTAAGGATGATGACAGCCTTCACACACACACACACACACACAATCTGCTTACCCTGCTTTTATTTTTCTTCACGTTACCCATCACTCCCTTACACATTATCATGATATTTTTGTGACGTTACATTATACTGTTTGTTTTCTTTGGTCTCTTCTACTAGAATGTGCTCTCCAGAGGGCAGGGACTCTCCCTTATTCACCACTATATCTCTAGTGCCTAAACCAGTGCCTGAAACAGGTCGGGTGTTCATAAATGCTTGTCAAATGAGTGAACAGCCCCCCCAGGCCCTTCCTTTGTTCCTACAGTAGACTAACTCAGTCCCTGTCACAGCAGTTCACACCTGTCACATGTCTTCTTAAACCAAAGTGAAAATGTTACAGGCAAGGCCACTGGGGAAGGGAAGGCAGGAAGATGTCTATGGAGCAGTGGTCCTCAGGGCAGTCCCTAAGCCAGTGGCATCCTTGAATTACCTGGGAGCTTGTTAGAAATGCAGATTTTCATGGACCCTCCCCAGACCGACTGCATCCAGAAACTACCCAGGGTGATGCACAGGAAAGTTTGAGAAGCACTGCTGTGAAGGAATAAAGTACTTCTGCCCCTGTCAAGAGTCAGAGGCAGCCTGCAGAGAAGCCTGGGGGCGGGCGGAGAGGGTGGGGGGAGGAACTAGAGTCGGCCGAGACTCTCAGCAAGCCCGGGAGTGGAGTCTGGAAGGTTCTGTGAGAGACCAGGGAGGACAAGCAGGTCAACCGCCAGTTCTGTGGGGCCTCTGGCCCTTGGCAGCAGTTCAGTCCTGGAGCTTGCTTTGACGGGGCCGTCTTTGACCAGACTCCCCAGAAGGAAAGAGGTGGTTGTCCATGGTGTCAGGAGTCTGGAAGAGCAAACTTTCTAAGACAGAGGCTTAGTGGTTTCCCCTTTCTCCGGGTTGGCAGGCTGCGAAGACCCCAGGATGAGGAGGACCACACCGTGTGTGAGCTCAGGTAACCACAGCCAGCGGCCTTGCTGGGGGAGCTTTGCTCGGGTGCACACACACACCACCCCCTCACTCCCAACCCGTGTCTGTGCCCTGGGCAGGCAGCCTTTGGGACCCCAACATCACGGCAGAGAGCCTGGAGGCCCAGCAGCTGCGGGTGAGCTTCACGCTGTGGAACGAGTCTACCCCTTACCAGATCCTGCTGACCAGCTTTCCACCCACGGAGAACCAGAGCTGCTTCCATCGTGTCCTCATGGTGCCCGACGTAAGGCCGTCACTGTCCTGGCCCTCGCAGGTAGCTCTACGCCCCCTCCCCAAGCTTCAAGCCACCCAGTACTGTGCTTGGTTGACCCCAGGTCTGTGCTGCTCAGCTCCTTGTCTTTCCTTCTCACATGTGGCGGGTGTAGAGTCGGGTCTGTGGTGGATCCTTCCTTTGGCTCCGTTGTATAGTTGATCTCTGCCCTGCTTCCCTCCCCCATCCTCTCAGATCCTCCTTCCACACAGTCCCCCTGGTTCTCTTTGCTCTGGTTTATTTTTATCCCACCTGTTCCAAAAAGGACCTGAAGAGTTTTCAAATGTGGTATTAAGACAAAGGGGAAATAAAGATGAGGAAACGAGGAAGCCAGGGTGGGGTTACTACAGAAAATGTGTGTCATGCCGTTGGCTGTGAGCACAGATGTGTCCCCACGATCCCCAGCAGGCAAAGCAAAGAGAGAAAAACCAGTCACTAGATGTGCTCCTGAATCAACAATGAGCCAGTTGCTATAGGGAACTTTTCCAGAAACCCGGAAAGCCTTCCCTGGGCGCGCTGGACAGCAGTGGCCGTGTTCCCGGCAGCCGCCTTTAGCGCTGCGGCAAGCTCGTGCCCGTCCAGCCTGACCCCCCCTCCCACCTCCCTGCAGGCCGCACTCGAGGACGCCCACCGGCGGGCCAACGTCACGCTCACGCTGTCAGACCAGAACTGGTGCTGCCGCCACCAAGTGCAGGTGGGTGCGGATGGCCCCGGCAGGTGTGGGAGCACGTGCACAGGCGGGCCCTCCGCCTAGAGGGGCCGAGTAGGGGAGGCGGGCCGCCCAAGGACTCGTGCTTTCTCCGAGGACCTGGCACCCCGACCCCCTGGGGCTCCCTGCCTGGGGAGACCTCCTCTTTGCCTTCCCCAGCCCTGTATACTCCCGGCCTCCCCGGCAGGGCTTCTTGGCGCCTGGTAGCCTATGGGCGATCTGCCTGGCAGGCCCGTGGGCGTCCCAGAGTAGCCGGCCAGGCTCTGCTCCCTCCGGGAGCCCCTGCTGGCAAGAGCACACTCGCGGAGGGCCCGAGCCTCCCCACCCAGCGTCTCAGTGGCCCACTGTCCCCCGCTTTCTCTGCGCCCCCAGATCCAGCCCTTCTTCAGTAGCTGTCTCAACGACTGTCTCAGACACTCCATAAGCCTCCCTTGCCCAGAAATTCCAGAGGCTCCAGGTAGGGAGTGTATGGCTGCTCTGGGGCGTTTTCAGGGGGTGAGGGTAAAGGAAGGCCGGCACCTTGAGCTGAGCCCTGACCTCGTGCTGAGGGTGGGGGCGGGCTTTAATTTTACTTGGAGTTATTCAGGCCCGCAGTGTGGGGCCGTAGAGACACTCCTGGGTTGGACTCCTGACTGCCTTTCATTAGCTGTGTAGCCCTGGACAAAATATGTAACCTTTCTGATCCTGAACTTCTGTGACTGAAGAACTGTGGATCGTCCTTGTCCGAGAGTTTTAGTATGGACCACGAAGTGCTTTACCATGTCCACTTTTAAACCCCACGGATTGTGACTCCTGGTGCCATGAAGTAGAGCGTCCCTCCCCCAGTTCGTAGATGAGGAAGTAGAGGCACAGAGATGCTCAGTGACTTGTCCGAGATCACACACCAGGAAAGCGGCAGAGCTGCCCGTCCCTCCCCATGCCCTGCTCCGCGGCCCACCGCCCACAAAGAAGCCGCCGCAGCCTGAGCCACAGCCTTTACATGGGCCTGGAGGAGGATCTGGCCTCCCGGGTGGGATTTGGGGGCCTCTCTTAGCAGGCCGGCAGCTTAGGTGTTTCCTGTAGACATCATTAAGTTGAGCGGGTGTCTGGAGCACTCAGGGTAGGGCCAACGTCACCAGCAGGCCCCCGTGGGTGTCAGCGATGGGTTTTGTGATTACTGCTAGTAACGAATACTGTTTTCCCTTTGTTCTCATTGCAGACTCAATTGCAGGTAAGGCCGGCAGTCCTTCCCATCGTGCTGCGGGAGTTCCCAGGGGCCCTTCCTCAGGAGCCGCATGAGAAGTCCCTGACTGAGCCTCGCCTGGAGCCAGGCAGACAAGGCTGAACTGGGTGGCCAGCCCGGGGGTGGAGGTCACCAGCATATCATGGCACAGGCCACAGAGGACAGCCCAGGGGCTGGGCAGCGGGGCTGGAGGAGCTCGGGACTGGCGGAGCGGGCGTCCTCCGCCACGTCACTCATGCGGTTCCCACTTCCCACAGACTACATACCCCTGTGGGTGTACGGGTTCATCACGGGCATCTCCATCCTGCTGGTGGGTTCTGTCATCCTGCTGATCGTCTGCATGACCTGGAGGCTACCCGGTAAGGGGCGTCATGGGGTTTGCCTCTCTGTTCCTCTCTTTCCTCCCACGCCTTCCTCTTCCCACTCCAGTCTCTGCAAGGCTGTACTCAGAGGGCACCCTGCAGTCCCAGGCCCCCCAACCCAAGTGAACTACTGACATTGTCTCTCTTTGGCCACGGCAAGCTCCCTTGTCAGGAACTCAGCCTGCGGGAAGGCTGAAGCGGGCTCGGATCCCAGCTCCACTGCTTACTCCCTGGGCACATTACTTCATTCTCTGAGCCTCGGGTTCCTCTTTTATAAAAAGGAGATTATAAAGATACCCATATCACAAAACGAATATAAAGACTACATGCAATAACGTATATGACTTTTTAGCCTTGAGCCTGGCGCATATTTGCTCAACATATGTTAGCCACAATTATGTTTATTGCTACCAAAATTAATAGTATTAAAACAAACTGGATGGAAGGAGCTAAGGTAGGGTTTCTCTGCCTCAGACATGATCAGCCAGGCAGGTGGGAGAACCTGAATGAGCCCATCCTGCAGCCCCCAGATGCGTGTACATCTGTCAGGAAGAACAGCAAGGGACAGCACGATGTGATAGAGAAAGCTCTGGGTGGGTCCAGGATAAATGGATGCGGCTCGCAGCTCCGCCTCCCTGCTTTGCAGGCATAGGCAGCTTGCTGAACAAACCCTGGATTTGGTTTTGTCTTCTGTGAACTGGGATAATGACCCCTCCCTCTCAAGGTTGTGGTGCGGATTGAATGGTCTAGCCATGGAAGGCACTGACCAGGGAGTGCTGGGAGGTAGCAGCTCCTCTCCCTGCAGCCCTCTCTGGCCAAGTGCTGAGCAGGAGAGCACATGGGCCTCCAGGTGAGGGGCTCGGCCTTCCCCTGCCCCTCTGCGGCCCCACGCCCTTTCTTCAGTGGTCTAAGAGCTGTTTCCGCACTTCCAAGGCTCATCAGGATTAAGTATTAATCATTATTAATTCTTGTGTGATGGGGAGACTACCACAGCAGGCCCTGGAAGACCCACCGTGAGGGCACTTCTCCACAGGACTGTTTCGGGGTCAGATAAGTTAACATCTCCGTGAGTGCTTTAAAGACTGATTGATTGATTGATTGCGGGGGGCGGGCAGAAGGAAAGGGGAGAGAAAGAGGAAGAATCTCAAGCAGACTCCCCGCTGAGTGCTGAGCCCCACATGGGGCTCCATCTCATGACCTGAGCCAAAACCAAGAGTCGGACACTTAACCGACTGAGCCACCCAGGCGCCCCCGTGAGTGCTTTATAAACTGTAAAGCTCTTCATAGATGCCACGGAGGCTTTTTGCTTCATTTCTGTTGTTGCATTTCTGACCTTGTATTGAAGTGTGCCCCACACCATGGGGTGAAGGAAAGGACACTTGTTCGACTGTCTTTTGGTAGTTCTGGGAAAAGGCCCAAGAGGTGGGAATTGAAATTCTGGTTCAAAAAGTCTTCCTTGGGGCGCCTGGGTGGCTCAGTTGGTTAAGCGGCTGCCTTCAGCTCAGGTCGTGATCCTGGAGTCCCGGGATCGAGTCCCGCGTCGGGCTCCCTGCTCAGCAGAGAGTCAGTCTGCTTCTCCCTCTGACCCTCCCCCCTCTCGTGCTCTCTCATTCTCAAATAAATAAATAAAATCTTTAAAAAAAGTCTTCCTTGGCTACCCATGGGTTCAGTGCATACTGCCATGTCACCGAGGAGCTGACTCCTAGACCACAGTTCCCTTCTTTGTATCTCTGGGGGAGCAGTTGCCTAAGAATGTTGTTTCCCTTTCTCACCTCAGAAATACCAGGAGGAAATGTTGTAAACAGGCCTGATGGGGGCTGCTTCTGGAGATGTGTTGTAAGCCTCTTGCAAGGATGAGTCTGGGGAAGAGCTTTCCTGCCATGGGGCGTTTCCTCAGGGGTGGCCAGACTGTGGGGAGGAGAGGAACCATTGCTAGAACAAGGGACATGGGGGGAACCCCTAGTCACCATACTGGGGGTCCTGGCTGGGTCAGTGCTGCAGAATATTCGTGACCCCAGCTGACTATGTACAATGTACCAGACACTTCACAGATACAATCTCATTTAATCCCTGCTGCACAGACCCCTTTTACAGAGGAAGAAACTGAGTTTCGGAGGCCTTAGTAACTTTCCCAGATCTCACAGCTGTTGATGGCAGACCTGGGAGTCACACTGAGCGGCTCCTCACAGCCCGGTCTGTGAAGGTCCTGAAGCATCTGGCAACTGCCTCCGACTGCCCTCCCTGACCGTCTGTCCTGGGTCAGGGGTGGGACAGCACTCCTTCAGATGCCCCTGGGAATTGGTCCCTATTTCTCTTCCAAAAGAGCTGCTCCAGTGTTTTTTTTTTTTTTTCTTTCAGGGTCTCATCGTGAAAAATATGGTAATGACACCAAATACACAGGTCAGTATTTCCTGGTGTGGGTGGGGTGGGTTCGGTGAGTGTTGCTGTCAAAGGCATGATGGAAGGTTCTCTTGAGACACAGGGGTGGGTTGCCTTCTGCAGTTTAACTCCTGATTTCCTTCAGGAGACCTCAGCTTGGAGGACCCACCTTCCAGGACCCCCACACAGAGAGAACCACAAATGGCAAGGCTGGGATACCATTTTTGAAATCACTTGGACAAGGAAAGGAAGGGAAGGGTACCATCTTTGATGAAAAGAGGTCCTACCTATAACAGATATTTGTATTCCATAGAGAGGCCTTTGTGCCTATTTTGCTTTTTAATTACAATAATTAAAGTATAGGCTCAAGGCCAGATAGGAATCTTGAGAAAGAAATGCACTCTCCCAGAAGGCACCACATGGTAATTCTTTTCAGGCAGCCAGAACGGGTGAAAGAGCAACATCTGGCTTATTCCAAGGCCTCGGTTGCATTTACTTAGACTAGGGAACCGGTGTCTGCCTGGTCCAGACGCCCCCTGGGCTGTCTGAGGATCAGCCCAGGTGCACACCCAAACCTGGGGGCCTGGCTTTCCTTGTTTCCCTCAGATGTCCTGCCCGAGACCAGCCTGACCCCTCCACCCCTGAAGCCCAGGAAGGTCTGGATTGTCTACTCTGCCGACCACCCTCTCTACGTGGACGTGGTCCTGAAGTTCGCCCAGTTCCTGCTCACCGTCTGTGGCACCGAGGTGGCCCTCGACCTGCTGGAGGAGCAGGTCATCTCAGAGGTGGGGGTCATGACCTGGGTGGGCCGCCAGAAGCAGGAGATGGTGGAGACCAACTCCAAGATCATCATCCTGTGCTCCCGAGGCACCCGGGCCAAGTGGCAGGCCATCCTCGGCTGGGAGGAGCCGGCTATCCAGCTCCGGTGTGACCGCTGGAAGCCCGCAGGTGACCTTTTCACTGCAGCTATGAACATGATCCTACCAGACTTCAAGAAGCCAGCCTGCTTCGGCACCTACATTGTCTGCTACTTCCGTGACATCAGTAGTGAGAGTGATATCCCCGACCTCTTCAACATCACTTCCAGGTACCCACTCATGGACAGGTTTGAGGAAGTTTACTTCCGGATCCAGGACCTGGAGATGTTTGAACCTGGCCGGATGCACCGCGTTGGGGAGCTCACAGGTGAGAACTACCTGCAGAACCCGAGCGGCTGGCAGCTCAAGGAGGCCGTGGAGAGGTTCCGGGAGTGGCAAGTCCAGTGCCCAGACTGGTTTGAGCGCGAGAACCTTTGCTCAGCGGATGACCAGGACTTCCCGTCCCTGGACGAAGAGGTGTTTGAAGAGCCCCTGCTGCCACCAGTAAGAGGGATCATCAAGCAGAAACCCCTGGTGCACGAACCCACCTCTGAGGGCTGCCTGGTGGGAGATCTGCTTGTCAGTGAGGAAGGAAGAGGGCTGTCAAGGCTGGAACCTCAACTCCAGCCCCAAGGAGAGCTGGCGGCCCAGGCCCTCCAAACCGCAGTGCTCCTAGTGGACGAGGTCCCTTCGGCTCAGGCCGTGGAACCCGTCCCTCCGGCCGTTGAGAGCAGCACAGCGGGCCGGCTGGCCGTGGTCGGGGGCGACGAGGCCTGCCCGCTGCTGGAGGGCTGCGGCCCGCGGCGGAACAGTGTCCTCTGCCTCCCCGTGGACTCAGAGGCCCCGCCTCTCTGCAGCACCCCAGTGGCATCTCCCAACTACGTCCCAGAAGATGTAAGGCAGCAGCTCGAAGGCTTGATGTTCTCACTCTTCCAGCAGAGTCTGAGCTGCCAGGCCCAGGAGGGCTGGGACAGAGCTGCAGTGGCCCTCAAAGACCTCTGCACGCCCTGTGAGGGGGAGCAGCGGCAGTCCGTGCAGTCCGACCAGGGCTATATCTCCAGGAGCTCCCCACAGCCCCCTGAAGGACTTACGGAAATGGAGGAAGAGGAAGAAGAACAGGACCTGGGGACATCGGCCAAGCAGCTCTCTGCTGAGGACCTAGAGAGCCTGAGAAGCCTCCAGAGACGGCTCTTCTTCCAAGAGCTTCAGAAGAACTCCGGCTGGGGCGGTGTGGAGCCAGAGGAGCCTTAGGGCCCCCCTAGCCCCAGGGTGTTAGGGAAGGGCGGCGTGTGTACACGAGCGCACATGTGTCTGTATATATGCCTATGTTCCTGTGTGAAGTGTTTGCCTTTAAATGTGGACCTCTTGAGCCCTGGGCATTGCCCTGAATTTTCTTCCTCTGAGCCTGTGGTCGCGTTCTGTCCCAGCAAGAATCCACAGCCCATCCCCGGGAGCCAGCCACAGAGCATCCCTGAGCCTCCATCGTGCAGTCATTCGGTCATCCAGCATTTATTTTGCACCTCTCATGTGCCAAGCATCTGAGATACAAAGATCAATTGCACAGGGGCTCTGGCCACCAAGGGGCTTAACGTCTGGTGGGAGCAGCAGATTAGCAAACGGGATGGTCCTGTGCGATGGAAAGGCTTAGTAGAGGTCTGCCCAGGGCTGTGAAAGTACACAGAAGGAGCAGCTGGGCCCAGAGACCGTGGTTGGAGAGGGCAGCGGTCCCCGGGGCAGGGGCAGCATGTGGGGTGAGGGCTGGGGCCAGTGAGCCTGGAGCGGGAGGAGGGGGCAGCCGGAGCCTGGGCTGCAGAAGGGCTTGTGGGCTAGGCTGGGGGGTTGGGACATTAGCCCGGTGGCCTGGCATTCCTTTGACAGGGTGAGCTGCTGCCCTGCAGAGGAGGGGCCTGAGGACCAAACGTACCCGAAAGCCACCTCAGACCATCTCTGGAAAGACACAGGATAGAAATGTGTGATGAGAACCTTAAAAGCATTCAGCAGGAAGAAAAGCCTGGAATCCTGAGCTCCCATTTTGGCCCTCAGTCAGTGGGAGAGCCACTGCAGAGGAGTCTTCCGGGGTCGCATGGCCAGGCCCCTGGGCAGCAGCACCCCGCCCCCGAGCTCAGGAAGCCCCAGAGCTGGGGGCCCAAGCCTGAGTGTGAGATACGGAGGGCGCCCGGCAGGGTGGGCAGAGGGGCGCAGGGTGGGAATGAGAGGCACACAGGGCCTGGCAGGCCTCTCTGGGGTGGAGAGGAAAACAGGCCACTCTGTACTTAAAAGTCTGAGGTTCAAAGACAGTATTCAAGGAGAGATGCTAAGGCTCAGTGCTGGAAGACATTGTGCCTGAAGTGCCTTCTCGGGAGGAACTGAAGGCTTCTGGCCGTCCGGGGTCCTGGCGAGCACGCTGGGATGCTGTCTGCCCCTGGACTCAGGTGAGCTCATTGCCTGGACTCGAGCCCTCAGCTGGCACCAAGCTCCCAGTGAAGGGGTGAGGACTCAGGCAGGTAATGGGAAACCGTCACAGGCTGTGTGTGTGTGTGACACACACGTGTGTCCTGTGCACAGAAGGGAGATGGTCAATAAAAGATTTGTCCAGCCTGGTAGTTCTGTTGAGTCACGTGTTGCTACAGGCCGAATGCCTGGCTGTGAGTCCTTTCAGTCGTGCGATTTCCCCGGGCAGCCGCAGGGGCAGTGGGTCGAAGGCCCGGACTGTGTGTGGCCCATACACAGCCCCACAGCAGCGAAGGAACAGGGAGGCAGAGCCGCACACAGGTTGTCTGTATCCCCCCCCAAATACTTGACAACTCATCCTCAGTGTGGTGGCAGCGGAGGTACAGGTGATCAGGTCGTGAGGATGCAGCCCCAGAGAGCTCCGTGCACCCCCTGCCTCGTGAGGGCGTGGCGAGATGGTCATTTGTGAGCCGGGCTGCAAGCACACACCCAGTCTGCCGGCTCCCCGGTCTTGGACTTGGCCGGCCGCTGGAGCTGTGAGCAGTGTGTGTGTAAGCCGTCCGGTCTTTGGTGTTCTGTGCCCTCAGCCCTCCCAGGTGGAGACAGCAAGAAAGGGAGCTGCGTTCTCCTGGCCACCAGCCTCTCAGGCTTCGTCTCCCCTCCAGTTGGCTGGCAGTGGGCATCCCTGGGGCCAGATGCCCACCAAGCTTTCCGTGACGTCGCCCCAGCTTCCAGGAAGCACTGACTCAATGCCCAGGGTGTGGAACACCATGGTGGACTCTTCCTGGCTGGGGCCAGGCTTGACACGCCAGCAGCATGGCCCCAGCCAGTGTAGCCCTGGTGCCCAGAAGCATACTTTCCATTTGGATTGTGTTCCCCACAAGCCTTGAATTCTAGTTCTGCTGGCCTTTGAGGCCACATGTCCTCAGCCTTGCTCGCTGTGCTCCCCTTCTCTCGGGCTGCTGCCTGTTCTCCTGACAACTTTATTGAGATACAGTGCACATACCGTGTCATTCACAGCTGACCCTACGCAGTTCAATGGCTTTAAAGAGTTCAGAGCTCAGCAACCATCAGCATAATCAATTTTAGAAATTGTTCTTACTCCAAAAAGAAATCCGGCACCCTTTTTTTTTTTTTTGAAGATTTTATTCGTTTATTTGAGAGAACGAGAGCGTACAAGCAGGGTGAGGAGCAGAGGCAGAAGCGGGCTTCCCACGGAGCAGGGAGCCTGATGTGGGACTTGATCCCAGGACCTTGGGATCATGACCTGAGCCGAAGGCAGATGCTTAACCAACTGAGCCACCCAGGTGCCCCGAAATTCAGCACCCTTTAATCCTTACCCCAACCTCGCTAAACTCCACCCCCCATCCCTCTATGGATTTGCCTGTTGTGGACATAACATATATTAATGGAATCATAAAGTTCCCCAGGGCTTCTGGACCCTTTCTTGAATGTCAGTCCCTGGTTCCTCCCACGTTCCCTCTGCTTCCAGGGAGCCCCCAGTCTCAGACTGGCCTTTGCTCACCACAAATGCTGGAAGTTCTGTCAGCCTGTGGTGTCTGCTGTCAGCTCAATATCAAGAGCGTCAAGAGCATGTGTAAATAAAGCCTTGCCTTGCTTTTTGTATTATTCTGAAACATGGCTAATAAAATCCTGCTTCACCCAGAAACGCCATTCCAAGAACAGATGTCCTCCGAGCTGTGGTTTTCCTACCACTCAAGCCCCTCTCCTAAATAGAGTACAGCTGAAGTGGCTCAAGGGGATGGAAGGACCCACAATCAACATGCGACCCAAACCTAGAGTGGAGCAATGACCCGTGCCCGGCATCCAGCCTCCGACTCCTGAGTGGATTTGCATGCGTCCCTGCCTGCTGTCTGGATCCTAGTCAGGAAGGGGGGAGGGGGGCGGGAATGATTAGATGGTGGTGTAGACATGCTTTCCAACTTCGCTTCTACCCCAGTTTCTCTTTTCTGCTTAGGAAGGACCTCAGAGGTGTTCAGGCTCTAAGGGGGTTGGTCAGTCACTTGAACATCCAGCACTTTGAGTTGGAATCTCCAAATGCGAGGGTATGATGGATTTTACTTCATCTCTGCTTGTCTTTGAAGATTAAATAGGACATAAAGGAGAGGAACATGTACTTACAATGCAATGGGAAGTTTTAATCCGATGGCCTTTAGACTTTGCAGTTAATGTCCTCCCTTCCCAAATAAATAAGGGCAGTGCCAGGCCAACTTCTGCTCCAACACTTCCAGAAAAGACCTGCCAGTTCGGGACCACGAGACACCGGCTGCTCCAGGCTATGCAAGAAAGTAAGGACCCAAGTATGCTTGAGCTGGTATTCCAGCCCTGGCCTTGGGTCTCCGGTCAGGTGGCTGGAGAGAGATTTTCTTTCTTTATTTTTTTTTTTAATTTTAGGATTTTATTTATTCATTTGAGAGAGCAAGCACAAGCAGGGGGACCTGCAGGCAGAGGGAGAAACAGGCTCCCCACCAAACAAGGAGCCTGATGCGGGACTCAATCCCAGGACCCCGGGATCATGACCTGAGCCAAAGGCAGACAACTGAGCCACCCAGGCACCCAGAGATAGGTTCTTTTTTTTTTTAATTAATTTATTTATTTGACAGAGTGAGAAATAGCGAGAGCAGGAACACAAGCAGGGGGAGTGGGAGAGGGAGAAACAGGCCTCTCACAGCAGGGAGCCTGACGCAGGGCTCAATCCCAGGACCCCGGGACCATGAACCCGAGCCGAAGGCAGATGCCCAACGACTGAGCCACCCAGGCGCCCCCAGAGAGAGGTTCTTTAAAAAGAGGCTAGCAACAGTTAACCCAAGGCTGGGGCCCTGGTTCTGCTGCTTACCAGCCCTGTGATTGATCAGGGGATCTGCCTGAGGTCTCGGGTTGCTGGAGGTACAGCAGAGGCTCCTCCCTCATACAGGTCTCCTGTATGGAGTGGATGGAACATCCATGTGAGGGGCTTGAGTGGTGTCCCACACACGGGAGCACTCAGCACACGGTGGCCCTCGTTCCGTCCAGGTGTTGCCACCCATACACATTGCTGCCCTTGGGAGGAGTCCAGAGGCTCCCTTGGGTCTCATTGCCTCTCAGGAAGGAGCACTCTGACCGGGTTCTGGGTCGGAGCAGTTGAGGAATGTGGGGCACTATTTAGCCTTCTTCCTGTTGTTAGGGCTTTTTTACTCTAGTGTTTGCTTTTTCAGATTACAAAAGCAATATATGATCCAAGAGTCTATATTATGGGAGAATATAAAATAAAGCAACTGCCCCCAGCCCCTGGGTACAAGCTGTGAAGTTGGGGTGCCCACGCACAGCCTCCCACATCACTCCTAAATGGCTTCACGGTCCACCTCCTTGCTTTTGGTCTCACCCCAGCCCTCCATGCCCTGCTGCCTCTCCCAGACCTTGGCACTGGGTGCACATTCGCACCCTGTCCATCTGGGTTGGTTGAGGCAGGTGAAGTGCCCTGGAGAACCAGCCTTTGTCCGTTAGAGGAACATGGGCGTCCCCTCTCTCATGATTTCAAGGATAACAAGAGGTCTTGTCCAACATGCCTCCCCAGACCCCAGTTCCTGGATTCCCTTCCTAGGAGGAGTAGTTCCCTAGGCTGTTAGTTCACTGGATCCTTCCCTTCTGATCAGAGAGGAAGAAGATACAACAGTGACCGGAGAGGAGAGAGAGCAGAAAAGAATGACGCACAATTGGCTGGCCCCTGACTTTTGCTCAGTGCCACTTCCTTGGGACTCACACAGAATAGGAAAACCAGCCCCTGCTTTTTAGCCAGACCATTCAGCTTTAATAAGGAGAAGTGGAACTCTATTAACATCTCGGTCTGAAGGCTGCCTGGGGTGGTGCAGATTTTGGAGACAGACCTGGGTTCAAATCTAGATTCCCTTCCTGACTCTAGTGTGGTATTCAGCAAGCTACTCTATCTTTCTGGACCTCGGGAAAATGGAGCTAAAACCCCCTTGCAGATGACTGTGAGGATGAAATGAGCTGCTGTGCATCAAGGGCCTGCCACAGGCGAGCACAGGACGTGTCTCCGGGCTCCTCCCCAGGGCCAGAACTGCAGGGTCAGAATCAGGCCCTTGGCAAGGCCGCGTGTAGCCTCAGCCAGGCCCACTCTGAATACACCATCCGCTCATATGCCATTTCTTCATCTTTCACAGAGTGCTTTCGTTGTATGGTCCCGCAGACCACAGGGGTGGGAGCTAGCTTACCTGTGAGAAACATGTCAATATAACATGCTTAGTCAAACTCATCATCTTATTTTACATCTTGATTTAGGAAGAAAGGAAGATATGGTCTTATGTTTTTCTGTCATTGTTTTACATGTGAATGTTGTCCCCCGTTGTGATTATCAATGTCTTGAGGAAAAGGACCGTTTTTTGCATATGCCACCTCATTTAATTATTACCATAGCCTTGTGAGGTAATAGTGCTCCTGGGTGACAAGTGAGGAAGACACCCCAGGAGTGGAGGTCAGTGCCCACGGCCGCAGCTGGTAGGAGGCAGAGCAAGCCCAGGACCAGCGTTCCCAGGCTCTGAGTTTGCCTCTTTTGCCTCCGGGTCCAACCGCCGTGTGGCCTTTGCAATGGCCACAAGCGCCATAGGGCAACAGCACAGAATGGTTTCAATAGTACTGGCTGTGTCCGTGCTGAAACAAAAACTATTATTTTTGTGCAGACTCAATGTTCTGTCAGACTTCACAGCCCCTTTGTGTGGTTTTGTTGTTGTTGTTGTTGTTGTTGTTTTAAAAAGGCGTTGTTCTCCTCATTCATACATAATTCATTCCTCCGCAGGGACCTAAGTCGGAAAGGAGGGCAAAGTATTTGAATATAAGTTTCTCAGTCTTTCCTTTGGGAAGTTATTCTTAGAAGGAAATGGGAGTGAAAGCCCCAAGTGTCTGGGGAAATGTCTCTCAGGCTGAGAGCCCACCTGTTAGCTCTGCCTATAGGAGGCCTGCCTAGACACCCCCCAGATCAAGGCCAAAGCCACCCCACCTCCCTGAAGAGTGCCAACCGCCTAGAAGGAAATGGCCAAGTGTACCCACAATGTTAACACAAGCCTATAAAATGATGAGAAATGTCACAGTGACATTTAAGAATTTAGTAAGGAAACCAGGACAGGAAAGATCTTAAACCACACAGGAAGCTTGTCACAAGTTTCAAGTTTTTTATTTTCAGAACAGAGGCTGGTTTTATTTTTAAAAAGAAAAAGGGGCGGGGGAAACGTGCTCAATGCTAGTGAGGTGCCACTTCCCTTCTTCCAGGCTCTAACTTCCAGCCAGCTCTCTTCCCCAAAAACACATGGACGCAGAACCAGGCCAGGTTATATCAGAACAGCCTTTAGAGGGGGGCCGATCCAACCCCCTTTCACAATCCATAGAGTCAGAGGCTCAGATCAAGGCATGCCTTACTGGTACCCACGTTAGAGGCCAGCAGTCTGAATTCTGAACCTGGGCTATTTTCCTGTGAATCATGAGCCTCAGGAGACAGTGCACCTCCTGTTTATGAGACCCCCCCCCACGGGGAAACATCTCCAGTTTGAACTCCCCACTACAGATGCCCCTAGAAAGCAAGAAAAATGAAATTTTAGGGGTCATGTCTCATTTTGAGTGGGGCAAGGAAAGAGTAAAACACTCAAGAAAAAAACACCAGAAGGAAGGGATTGACCCCTGAGCGCAAAGTGCTTGCACCAGATGTTTGAAAGAGAACGTCCAGGGGTGAGTGCGGGGCCCACAGACAGAGCCTGAGCAGGCCCAGCCTCTGCCAGGGCTGGCCCGGGTGCCGTCAGTCTCTCGACGTACCTAGGGACGTGGTAGCTCATTGGAACCTATCACAGCCTCCCACCAGAAAACTCAACAGCACTCAGATTTTATAGTCAGTCACTCAGCGGGGGGAGACCACCATCCAAACAGGAGAAAGGGGGTGGGGCAGGGGCCAGCCAGGGGCTGGCCATGGCTCAGACACAAAGTCCATTCACAGCCACTGAGATTAGGTAGCAGAGAAACAGAGCAAAGCTGGAGAGAGATGGAGACCTGGGGAGCGGTCTGGGCCCAGGACTTTGAGCACACCGAATTCAAAGGGAAAGGATATGGGGGCGGGGGGAGTGCAGAGGCAGAAAAAAAAGACTAGTTGCAAAATCCAACCCACTAATATTGGACCTAGGAGGGTGAGGGGCTGGGAGCACAGATGATACATTGAGCGTAAACATGTTTCCTCCATTGTTCCCCACTGTGACAGTAGGGGAGTTTCAGAAGGACTCTGGTCAAGACATCAGCCCCTCTGTGTATCTACATGGAAGTCTTCTATCAACAAACCCCCAAGAAGTTGGGAGAGAAGGGCCTCAAGTAAAAAACTGAGGCCCAGAAAGCAAAAAGTGAGTGCCATCAAAGCTCGTGAGTGACAGTCAAAACTACAATCCATGACTTCTGGTCCTTTGTCTGGGGTTCATTACACCACACAAAGCATACAAAGGGGGGAAGGGCAACAAAAAAGCCCCCACCCCATCCTATTCTGGGGTGGAGGGAAGTGAGTATTTCCTGGCCTTGCTGCCAACTGTCCTCCTGCACTCTTACCTCCCCTAAAAATACTCACCCTCAAAGATTCCAAGAGTGATGTCCCACATCCAGACTATAGGCGGGCAACCCCTGGGTGTCCCTGGTCATTAATCTCAAAAGAATGCCAGTGAGGAAGGCAGGGCAGGGGGAGGATCTGTCCAGGCTCTCACCCATGCAGCCTGCCTTCTCCTTAGAAATTCTCTTAACCAGAGTAGAGGACAAAGGTCACCACCCTTTCTGATTCACACCAGGCTTCCTAGAGGAAGGACAGATGGGGAATTGGATTTCCTTGAGCCAATGGGAGCCCCAACTTCACATCTATCCAGGAACCCCACCAAAGCTGAGCCAAGATCTGACCCAGTCAGCAACAAACCTCAGGAAGGATAAGAGTTCTGGGTGCAGAGGGAGGGAGAGCGGGAGGGCAAGCCAATGGCTGATACTCCACAGACCCTGTAATAAGACTGGCACCAAACCCCAGCTGGATCCAGTGGCCATGTTGAATGCAATTTCTGAGTATTTTGCCTTTATTTTTTGCAAGCAGCATCAGTGTATGATGCAACAAAAGTTGAAAGCACGGAGGTAGAAATGCTCACTCACCCAAGAAAGGGTGTGGTTTGGTCCTTAGAGTATGGACCCTCTCCTCCCCCAAACTGAGAAGAGAGGAGTAGAACTGAGGAAGATCCTGGGTGAGCGTCTCCCTTGGAGGAGAGCAATTGGGCAGCTCCCAGGAGCCCAGCTCTTTCTGGAAATTAATTCACGGCCACAAATTCAGGTAGGAATGAGGAGGGTGGTCGTATGTGTGGTGGGAAGGACAGGGCCTCCCCAGATCTCCTACTGATTGCAAGGGGCCACAGTGTGGACACAAGAAAACTATACTACACACACAGACAAACACAGACGTTGCATCTACCATCTGGAAAAAAATCCAAAAGACACGTCAGGGGAACAGTGGATTCTGCATCAGTTTCAAGGCGTGGGACAATGACCACTAACCACAGCCTATAAGAAGCTGGCACTTCCAAGCGAGGGGGATGGCTTAAGGCCCAGCACCCCTGTCTGGGCACCCCCTTTTTACCATTCTCCCCCAAAATGGACAGGAATTAGGATGGTGGTGGGAAAAGCAGGAAGCAGAGGTATCCGGCCCCTGGAGGCTAGGTTAGGGTAGGGCATGGAGAAGGCAGACTATAGTAGTAATAAGTGGACCTTCCTCCTTCACCATTAGTTGCTGGTCTCCCTCCAGTCTTGACCCAAGGGGTGCAGGACACACTGGCCCTTAGCCCTATTAACAGTTCTGTCTTCCAAATAGAGCCTGATTAAATCTGGGTGATAGACGGTCAAGGGACAAGGGGCTGGGGTCTCTCAACCCCAAAGCAAGCCCCTCTCCTTTATCCCTCCTCAATTCTGGGATGCCACGGCCAGGGTATTGACATAGCCATGGGCACCTCCCTCGTTCTCCGAGATGCAATGGCCCAGCTGGGAGCCTCCCTGAGGTGGTGGTGGTGGTGGTGGCGGTGGCGGGGCAGAGGGCGGAGGGCCGTAGCCCCCTCTCCCCCGATTGGGGGAGGCCCGACTCCCCCGGTCCCAACAGCCCTCTAGGGCTTCCAGGCCGCGGCAGCCAAGGAAGAAGAGGTTCTTGAGCATGAAGATGGAGAGCGGCTGCTGGTAGCTCACCACCAGGAGGCAGCGCAGCGCCAGCAAGGGCACGTCCACCAGGCAGCCGCCCAGCAGGCGCAGAAGGCGGCTACAGCTGCCCGGCCCTGAAGCCTGGCCCCAGGACGAAGCTGCCGCTGCGGCGTTGAGCTCATAGAGCCAGAGCACCGGCGAGGCGAGGGTGAGGAAGTAGACGGCGATGAGCAGGTAGCGCAGGTGCGCGGGTAGCGGCACGCGGCCTTCCAGCATCAGCTCCACCAAGGTGAAGCTGTCGAGCAGGTCCAGACACGTGCCCAGGAAGCAGCCGGCGGCTCGGTGCTGCTGGGGCTGCAGGAGCAGGGGTCCCGCCGAGCCAGGGGGGGCGCCCGCCTCGCTGATGGCCCGCACCAGGCTGTAGAGCAGGGGCACGGACAGCGCCATGGTGAGGCGGAAGCCCGTGGTGCCGAAGGGCGCGCGCAGCTCGATGAGGTCCAGGATGGACGTGCCCAGGATAAGCACCACCTTGGGCGTGAAGGCGATGGAGTAGATGAGCCAGGCCAGATAGGCGAAGGCGAACTCGCCCGCTGCCCCGGCAGCGCCCGGGCCGCCCCCCGGGCCACCTGCACCCCCGCGGCCGCCGCGCGCCTTGGCCCCCGCCGCAGCCCCGGCGGAGGCGGCCGAGGCGGCGGGCAGGTGTAGAGGCGGCGCGGCGTGGTGGTGGTGCTGGTGGTGGTTGTGCACGCCGCTCGCCGCGCCGCCCCGACGGCCCCGGCTGTTCTTGGCGAAGAAAATGGCCCAGCCCACCACCACCACCAGGTCGGTGGCGATCCAGGAGCACCAGTACAGGTCGGTGACGGCGATGAGGTACAGGTCCAGCAGACCGCCCTGTGCCAGCAGCAGCACCACGGACAGCGCCTGGTAGCCCCAGCGGCACCCCGGGCTGGGGGCGCAGCCTCGGCGCCGACCCCTGCGGCCCGACCGGGCCGGACGGCCGCAGCAGCAGCAACACGAACAGCAGGAGGTGCCGCTGCCGGTCCCGGTGCCGCCCACGCCCCCGGCTGAGCGGCCCCCGGGGCCCCCGACGGCCCCGGCCGCAGCGCCCCCGCCGAAGTCCGCGGCTGTCATGCTGCAGGAGGAGGTGGGCGTGGAGGTGGAGGAGGAGGTGGCGGCCGAGGAGGAGAAGGCGGCGGGCGCGGGGTCGGCGGCTGGGGCGCCCCCCTGAGCCGGGGGTCCCGGGAGGCCCGCGGCGGTGGCTGGCACCAGCGGCTTGCTGATGCTGATGCTCTCGTCGTCGTCCTCTCTCTCGGCACCGGTGCTGCTGCTGGGGGAGCCGCCGCCGCCCCCGCCGCGTCTGCCGCCGCCTCCCCCCCGGCTGGTGCTGGTGCTAGTGCTGCTGTCGCCCGAGCCTCTCCGGCCGCGGGAGGAACCCCCCCGGAGGAAGAGGGGCTGCAGCCGGGCAGCGGCGGGGGGCGGTGGGAAGGAGCCGGATGAGGACGAGACCGAGCGGGGGTTGCCGAGCGCTGGGTGCATTGTCCTCCGAGGAGCTCCGGGGGGCTGCCCAGCTGCTCCCTCCCCGCCAACCCCGGGCTGGCAAGGCGGCCGAGGGGAGCCGAGGCCAGCCGCCGCCTCCTCCCCAGCGGCTGGGACTCGTACCCGGGTCGGGCAGCAGCGAGATCCGGACTGGAGCCACCGGACTGGGCGAGCCAAGCCCCGGGAGCCTGGGAAGTGGGGTAGGCGAGGAGCTGAACCCACCGCGGTGACGACGGGCGAGGCGGGGGCGGGGAGCTAGCCCAGTCGGAGAGGAAAGAGAGGCTGGCGGTGGGGAAACCAGGACTGGATTCAAGGGGGAGAGGAGGAGGAGAGACCAGAGAAGGAGAAAGCCTGGCTCGCTGGATCCGCAGGAACAAAAGGGGGGAGGGGTTGCTGAGGCGCAAGAGTTCGGGTGGGGAGCTCTGTGAGGGGGCCTAGAGGATGAGAGGGGAGGAGGAGAAACGGGGAAGCGGGAGTGGGCGGGGTTGACGCTGGGAGGACCTAACCCGAGCAGAGGATTCCTACGGAAGTCGTTCAGCGATCCTACCAGCCTAACTGCTGAAGCGTTAGTAACGCGATGGCCTTGGTCTCCGCGTAGATCATGCCTCTGAGCACCAGGCACAGACGACAGGTTCCGGCCTCTGCTCCCGGTCAGCACAACTTCTTTTGCAGGCAGCAGGGGCAGCTTTGGCCTCTACATCCAGTCCAGCGCCCTTTTACCTGGGGCAGCCTGCCTCTCCTTCAGACACTTGAAAACTAACTGAGCAATCAGGCCATGCGGATTAAAAGGACCAGAAACAGCAGCCCAGACATGAATTTCTACATATTGCTGTGCCCTGCACTGGGTTCAGTGATAGACCCTCAGGGACGTCCCACTTTCCAGTGAATGGAGCAGTTCTTTGAATATAACTGCTTGGGGGGGAGAGTGCAGGTAAAAGAATTACTCATGTGGCCCCAGCCGAGTGGGGCTTTTGGTATTCTCAGAGGTCCTTAAAGTGAGAATTAGAAATAATAAAGATGTATCTAGAAGAGAGGAAAATAAAGGGACCTTTAGAGCTACGGGTACCTTGATAAAAACAAAGGCTCAAATTGGGTGCTGGTGAATATTACAACCTGCCACCCTGGACAGGCCCTGCAGGCTCAGAGCTCATTCTGACTCACCCCCTGGGATTTATTCCATGACTGGGGCTGGATACCCATCAGCAACTCAGGAAGGCAGCAGGTAGAGTTATGGTCTTAGAGGTTTAGGGGAGAAAACAATGACTGGAGCATTTGGGGCTCAAAAAAAAAAAATTGAGGCTCATGTATAATGCAAACATCCCAGCCACGTCAAAGCAAGGCAGGAAACTTGTCTGCCCCTTCCTCCTTCTCTGCATACTTCAGGCTGCAAGTTCCCTGCCTTGATTCCACTGCTGTTAAAACTTGTACTGTTGGGGCTCACACCATGCAGTGCCAGGGAGGAGGACAAGGGAGCACCATGGTGGAGGACAAGGGAGCACCATGGTGGCTGCTTGCCCAGCCCTTGCCCCTAAATCTGCCTTGTGAATAAGGGTCAGTTTGGGCCAAAACTGCTTTTTCCAGTCTCTTGGAGGTCCGTCTCTACAACTAATCCATGGTAGATATGGGATTTAGAACCACTAACCTGCACTATTTCCACCTGCCTCTAGCACACATAACCTTTAAAAAGTTCGATGTCCAGTCATGCCAGAGATATTAGATGGTGAGAATGCTCTGGGGTCTCAGCTCTGCCACTTAGCTTGGGTGATTTGGAACTGGTTATTTCCCCTCTGGCCTCACATTATCCAACTGTAAAAAGGGACCAATATCTACCTTAACAGGCTGTTATTAAGAGAGGTCATGAGTTCCAAGGGTTTAGCCTAGTGCCTGGCACAGAGTATGTACTCAGCTAAAGGCAGCTGGTGTTATCATAATTCCACTTAGCTCTTGTCTTTACCTCCCAGAGAACATTTCCTCACGGCACAAGCCATTAATGATGTTTTCTGGGCTGAATTCCTTCCTGAGGCCACATTCAGAGTTCTGTCCCCCACAGCTTTGCACTTCAGTAAGTGCCAGGGAGCAAAGCTCTCATTAGACAGTGATTCTTGGACCTGGTCTCCACAGACTTCACAATGTGAGAGATTTGGCTCTGGCAGCGGGTGCCAAGGCCCAGCCACATGGGGCAAGGTGGGGAATAAAGAGCGTGTGCAGACCGCCCGCATGTGTGAGCGTCACAGCAGGTCTGGCAGATGTCAGGGCTGAGACAGTCCAGGTTAAAAAGCAGACTGGGGAGCTGCCAACTGCTAATGGGAGTGATTATAGCCAGTCTCCCAGCTCTACCACAGGGAAAACAGCAGCCAACGACTAACCTGAAAGCTGACCCAAGACTTCTGCTCAAATTAATGAAGCAGTTGAAGGAGCAAAAGCAGCGGATGAAGGCAAAGAACTGGGCTCCTGCGAGAACACTGACAGATCGGTCCCCACGCCCCACACCTGCCGGCTCCCCTGACCCACTCACCACTCCCCCATACTCCCCTCCTCCTCTCACCTGGCAGGCCTAGTCCCTCCTCCCACACGTGCCTCCAGGACAGGGATCTCCCCTGTAACTTGAATTGTAACAGCCCTTTGAAGTTATCTTTTGTATTTCTAGGAGATGAACTTTCTGTATGAGATCTTTTAGCCCAATTTTTTCAGATTTGAGGCCCTGAATAAAAGACCATATATAATAAGGATGAGAAATCAGAGTACACAAAAGAATAAGTTGGTGGCCTGGGTATTGGAGGGATCTCCTCTTTGCACTGGGTTTTCCCTAATCTTCACACACACACACACACACACACACACACACACACACACACACACACACACATAGCCTTTGCTTCAGGCTGGAAAGGGCTTGACAAAGACATGACAAGGAGAAGAAGGAAGACAAGAGACTTTCTCATATATAAAGTGAGAGCAAATATCCCACAAGGATGTAGAAAAGGGAGACACAGTCACCAAGCACCTCATAAATACTGAGGGTCTAGCTAGATATCTTACACACAATACCTGGAAACTGAGACACAGAGAGGTTAAGCAACTTACTCCAAGTCACACAGCTAGTTAAGGTTAGATCCAGACTTCTCTCAGCCCAGTGCTCTCACCACCTACCACTCTCCATGATGGCAGCAGCTCATAGGCATCCTGGGGGACAGGGACAAACTAAGCAGGTTTCAATCCAAAAAATATTTCCCTAAGAACCTGCTAAACACTGGGCACTGGGTAAGGTTCATTTGGAAACCTAATATTCTTGTCCTCCTGGAACGGAAAGGCTAAGGGCTCACTGCCTTCCTGGAGCAGCAGTGGATGGACTAGGAGTAAGGGAATGATACCCCCAGCCAGCTCAGCAGCATATGAAAGCTCACTGAGGCAAGGCCAACCCTTCCACATACTGAACCAGGCCCCATTCTTTCCCAATCCATTCTCTGCTCACTATCACTGCCCTTTCTCACCTTCACAGCAAGAATAAAGAAAAGGTCCAAAGAGAACTGTCAGAGGGGCGTGTGGAGCCCCACAGGTGCTCAGTGAAAAGACACAAGCAGGGCCCTCTGGTTCTCAACTACGCAGTCACCATACCGACCTGAGAAAATGAAAGGGAAGCTGGCAGGGAACTGGGACTGAAGTAGGATGAGTCTGTGAAGCTTGGGCTTATTAGGAACTTGAAGCCTCAAAATGACTTTTAGAGCTCTCTGAAGATAGACACTACCCCTGTCCCAACTGAGACATCCTCTAGTACCTGGAGCAAAGCTGTGCCTTGAGCTGCCCCACAGATGTCTCACAGAGATGCCACTACCCTCTTGGATAAAGAAGTTCCAGCATCAGCACCTCCATGTGTCAGTCCCCAGGCTAGGTGCTGCGGTTCCAGAGACTAAACCAAAGCAAGTCTTCTCCTAGGCGTCCACCCTGGGAAGGAGATACAGTGAAGTGACTGAATGCTATACAGGGTGCAGAAGAGGTGAAAACAGGAGTCGGTAAGGCCTTCAGAGAGGAGGGGAATGTGCGAGCTGCTGTAAAAGGTGGGCAGATGGTGGTTAGCAGATGGGAGGGAGGGGGGTTGGGTTGGGAGAGCATTCCAGGTAGAAGGAGCAAGATGAACAAAGTACCTATGGAATGAAATAGCAGGACACGTTTAAGGAATTACAAGTATTTGACATCGCTTGCATATGAAGTACAAGAAGATGCAATAAAAGGTAAGGCTGAGGGAAGAGGCAGGAGTTAGGTTACACAGGACCTCGTATGCCACACTGAACTTGGGCTGCATTCTGAGACAAGAGGGAACTCTTGAAAGCAGAAATGTAACAAGAACAGATCTGCATCTTGGAAAAGTTGCTTTGCAGTAAAGATGATGGATTGGAGGGAAGAGAAAATGAAAGCAGAGACTATGTTCCACTTCTGGCAATACTGTGAACTAAATAATATAAAACCTCTCCAGCTCACAAAAAAAACACAAGATAAAATTAACTGTCCTTAAAAAAAAAAAAAAAACAATTGAATGTCCTTTTAAAAGCCCAGTTAAAAGAGTAAGATAAATTCTAGGGGCCATAAAGAAAGAGCAAACTGGAAGCCAGAATGGTTAAGTGAAGTGAATGATGCTGTGAGTGCCTTCACATATGTAGGCTGTCTCAATAGGGAATGTTGTCTAAGATGGTAGGGACAAGCCATAAATAGCAATATAATTTAAATTTACCTAAATTAATATTAATTGAAATAAATTGAAACTTAAAATTCAATTCCTCCATCTCTCTAGCAACATTTCAACTGCTCAAAAGCCCAATGTGACTAGTGGCTACCATATGGATATAAAACAGCAGATATAAAACAACTCTATCACTGGACGCCTGGGTGGCTCAGTTGGTTAAGCGACTGCCTTCAGCTCAGGTCATGATCCTGGAGTCCCAGGATCAAGTCCCGCATCAGGCTCCCTGTGCAGCGGGGAGTCTGCTTCTCCCTCTGACCCACCCCCCTCTCATGTGCTCTCTCTCTCTCTAATAAATAAATAAAATCTTTAAAAAAAAAAAAAAAACTCTATCACTGTGGCAAGTTCTATTGGACCACGCAGATGGGAACTTGGATTTAATAGCCAAACAGAGACAGGAAACCTGGCATTCAACCCAAATGAGGCAAGAAGGCAGAGATGACCTTCCTACATACAACCAGAACCCTCAATAAAAGGATGGACTAGAAAAACAAATCTACCACCTAAACGGGGAGACTACATGGAGACGAATGAGCAGTGGCCTAGGCTGGAAGTGAAATAAAAACCTTTCCTGTAAATTCATTACCATGGGTTTATACCACGTATAGATTTGAAATTTGAATGATCTCATGCTGAAAAATTAACATAAATATTGGTTGTAGGCCGTTAATAACCATGGAGGCCTCTCAAAGGCAAATATGAAACAGTTCTGAAGGGACACACCTTCAACTCAGGCCTTAAAGAAGTCCCACAGATAAAATACCAGTAAAAGTGAGCTCACACTCCCAAATTACAAAACACATAAGGAAGTAACCCATCATGAATGAAAGCCAGCAGATTAAACATACAGCAAAATTAGACCCTCCCTACCCCACCACCAAGAACTTGAAATGATGAAGGCTATACCATCAGTGGGTTTACTACGATTAAAAACATAAAAAAGAATACACTGCTATAAAAAAAGAATAGTATAGAAAAAGAAAAGAATAAGGCAGGGAGAAGTACACCCAAGAATGGCAGTGTGTGGATCTCTGTGAATTTTCTCTCCAGTAAAACAACCACAACTGGTGGAAACTATAAAAAAACCATTTAAAATTTCTGAAAATCGTATTAGGGCACCCAGCAAATGGAAAAATATTTATTCAAGAAAGCATACTAAATTTCTTTAAGAATAGCAAGAGTCTGTGGCATTTAAGCCACAACCTGCTCCCTTCCCTCCCCCCACTGAGTGTGACAGAAACTCTACTTCAGTTGAGTACAGCCAAGAAGAAGGGGCTCCCCATCTCCCAGTCTAGGATAATAGTTTGTCCCTAGGAAGGGATTTCTAATCCCACCCCCCACCCCCGCTTCCTGTGTAGAAATTCTGTGCCAAAACACAGCTGAGAGGTCTGAGGTTCCCTACTTCCACCCAGTCCCTTCTTGTAGAGTGAAAGTTCTAACCTAGGTGTGGCAGGCCAAAAATACTGGGCCAAATCACCCTGTCCCAGCTCACTGGTAGCTTAGGGGTCCCAGGCAGGGAGAGGGAAGCGGAGAAAACAAGAGCCTATTACAGTCTCCTCTCATCCCCTTCCAATTCGTAGAAAAGGTGATTCACTCCAAGAGAAGTATGTTGCTGAGCAGTGGCACAACAGCTCTGCCTTAGATGTAGAAACAAAGAACTCTGTAGCTCAACCTAAGGATTCTGACTTTATTTGGAAAAGAGTTGGGGAAGTTCAAGTCCAAAGGCACTGTTGAAGACAACGGAGCTCTTGGTGGTGAGTAATTCAGGAGGCTGATAGTTCCATGATGGAACAAGTGAAACAGTAAACCAGCTAAAAGTTTAACAAAGAGAACTAGGGAAAGAGCTAAAAAGAACCCACATGGGGACAGAGTAAGCCTCAAAAACTGGTCTCAAGAACTATCCCTGCAGGAGGGGAAGAATGAAGGGGAGTAATTTGGAGGGGGAGACGAACCATGAGTTCGTCTGACTCTGAAAAACAAACTGAAGGTTCTAGAGGGGAGGGGGGTGGGGGGTGGGTTAGCCTGGTGATGGGTATTAAAGAGGGCACGTTCTGCGTGGAGCACCGGGTGTTATGCACAAACAATGAATCATGGAAAACTACATCAAAAACGAATGATGTAATGTATGGTGATTAACATAACAATAAAAAAGAACTACCCCTGCAAAGGGGCCCAACTCTATTGGATCAGATGTTAAGCAATTGATGCCCCAGGACATTGTCAAAAATAACAAGACAATCAGCTATCAATTAGTGAAGATTAACAGATGGGTGTGATACCAATAGAGGCCGACCAGCCAGAAGCAAAACTGGGAGATCAGGGGAAAACAGTCAATGAGAACCCAGCTAAAACTGCAGCCATCCCAGGAGGGAAGGGAGACTGGGTGCATGTCCAAGGCTATTGAAGAGACATCAGAGGTTTCACACTATAAGGAAAACAGATTTCATTGAATTCGTCCAGCCATGGATATCCATGACATCCATGATACCCATGACAAAAAGTCCTGAGGTGGGGGTGAGAGATCATGGTCAGTTTCCTGAATTGTTACAAGATATTATCTTAAATGTCCAGTTTTAAAACACTATGAAACATATAAAGAAAAGAGGAAAGTGTAACTCATACATAGGGAAAGCCAGACAACAGAAACTGTTATTGAGGGGCCCAGACACTGGATTTAGGAGACAAATACTTCAGAGCAGCTACTATAAATATGTTCAAAGAACTAAAGGAAACCATGCTTATAAAGAATTATAGGAAAGTATGATGACAATGTCTCATCAAATAGAGAATATGAAGAGACAGAAATAATAATAACAAATGGAAACTTTAGAGTTGAAAAGTTCAGTAACTAAAATGAAAAATTCATTAGAGGGATTCAACAGTACATCTGAGCTGGCAGAAAAAAGATTCAGCAAACTAAAAGATACACTGATATAGATCAAACACTCTGAAGAATAGGGAGAAAAAAGAATAAAGAAAAAAATGAACAGAACCTCAGAGAGATAATGGGACACATTAATCATATCAACATAGACATAATGAGAGTACTTGAAGGAGAGAAACAAAAAAGCAGAAAAAAATATTCAAAGAAATAATTTCTTGAAAACTTCCCAAATTTGATGAAAACTACTAATCCACACATCCAAGAATTCAACAAACTCCAAGCAGAATAAATGCAGAGATCCAGACAAATCACAGTCAAAATGTTAAAAGTAAAAGACAAGAAAGAAATCTTGAAAACAGCAAGAATAACATCATATACAAGGAAATCCCACTAAGATTAACAGTTAACTTTTCATCAGGAAGAGTAAAGGCCAGGAGTGCCTGGCTGGCTTGATCAGTGGAGCAGGCAACTCTTAATCTCAGGGTCCTGAGTTCAAGCCCCACATTGGGCATGGAGCTGGAAGGAAGGAAGAAGGAAAGAAGGAAGGAAGGGAGGAAGGAAAGAGGGAGGGAGGAAGGAAGGAAGGAGGGAAAGAAAGAGGGGGAGAGGGAGGGAGGAAAGGAAAGGGAAAGAGAAAGAAAGAAAGGGAAGGAAGGAAGGAAGGAAGGAAGGAAGGAAGGAAGGAAGGAAGAAAGGAAGGAAGGAAGGAAGGAAGGAAAGCAGGAAGGAAAGGCCAGTGGCAGTGGGATAACATATGCAAAGTGCTGAAAAAAAAAGTGAAACAAGGGACGCCAGGGCAGCCCAGTCCATTAAGCAGCAGACTCTTGGTTTTGGCTCAGGTCATGATCTCATGGGATCAAGCCCTGCACTGGGCTCCACACGCAGCAGGGAGTCTGCTTGGGATTCTTTCTCTCTCCCTCTGCCCCTCTCCTTACTCACATGCTCTCTCTCTCAAATAAATAAATAAATCTTAAAAAAAAAAAAAAGTCAAGCAAGATTCTTATATCCAGCAAAACTATCTTTCAAAAATGAAGATGAAATAGACATTTCTAGACAAACAAAATCTGAGAAACCTATTGCTGGCACAGCTACCTTATTTTTAAAATGTTATACTGAAGGACATTCTTCAGGCTGAAAACAATAATTCAAATCCACACACAACAAAAACAGAGTGTCAGTAAAGGTCATTATGTAGGTAATTATAAACAATAATGTGTACTTCTACTCCTTTCTTCTAAATTATGTATAAAGCAATTGCAGTAAAGGTTCTCATGTAGATAATTATAAAAGATCATACAATTGCACATTTCTTCTTTCTTCCAACTCCTTTAAAAATTGTATCTTTTTATCAAATGGTACTGGAACAACTGGTGGACATCCACATTCAAAAAAAAGAAAAAAAAGAATCTTACACCCTTCACAAAATTAACTCAAAATGGATCACAGACCTAAATGTAAAACACATAAAACTCCTAGAAGATAACATGAGAAACTCTAGATGACCCTGGATTTGGTAATGACTTTTTAGATACAAACACCAAAATCATGATCCCTGAAAGAAAAAATTGATAAGATAGACTTCATTAAAATTAAAAATTTCTGCTCTGAAAAAGACACTGTTGAGAGAATGAAAAAAACAAGCCACAGACTAGAATATTTGCAAAAGACATATTTGATAAAGGAATATTATCCAAAATACACCCAGAACTCTATAAAATTCAACAATAAGGAGACAAACAACCCAATTAAAAAATGGGACAAAGACCTTAACAGACATCTCACTAAAGAAGATAAACAGAGGGCAAATAAGCATATGGAAAGATCCTAAACATTACATATCAGGGAAATGCAAATTAAAACAACAAGGGGGCGCCTGGGTGGCTCGGCGTTTTAAGGATCTGCCTTCGGCTCAGGAAGTCCTGGGATCAAGCCCCACATCGGGCTCCCTGCTTGGCAGGAAGCCTGCTTCTCCCTCTCCCACTCCCCCTGCTTGTGTTCCCTCTCTCGCTGTGTCTCTCTCTGTCAAATAAATAAATAAAATCGTAAAAAAATTAAAAATAAAAGAAATGCAAAATGACACAGCCACTTTGGAACACACTTCGGCATTTCTATGAAAATAAACATACTCTTATCATATGATCCAGCAATTGCACTTCTTGGTATTTACCCAAGGAGTTTAAAACTTATATCCACACAAAAACCTGCACGTGGATATTTATAGCAGTTTTATTCCTGATTACCAAAACGTGGAACCAAGATGTCCTGCAATATGTGAATAAACTATACAAACAATGAAATATTATTCCGTGCTAAAAAG